AAGCTTGGAAGTGGGGATTCACATAACAGAGGGTGGTTCTGACTAGAACACAGAAGAGGAGGATGACGAAGAGAACCATTGGGTTCATTAGGGATTTGGGAATATTGAAAGGGAATGAAGGAGGAGGAGGGCTAAGAGGAAGAGAGCTGAGGATGGAATGATAAAGATGAAGAAGATGGGCAAAAGAGAAATCACGGTGATGATAGCGGGGGGTTTGACCTGTGAATTAAAGTCATGGGCTCTGATCTGACATCTTCGTGCGCTAACAGCGATTTGTGATTGGTGCGTTGACTGTGTTTGCCGTTACTGCCCCATAAGTCGAACCTTTAGGAAAAAAATTTTTAAAAAAATCCTGAATTAAAATTAAAAAAAACAATTGTCTAACTAATTTAAATATATTAAAAATTTTTGTTAAATTAATTATTTATAATAAATATATATGTGATCTTTTATAAAATAATTAGAACTGTTTAACATGTATAACTATTATAATAATTATTTAAAAAAAATAAATATGAGAGACAAAGTGAATTAAGATTTTATATTTAAAACTAAACAAAAATAAAAATAGCTGTCACGAGGACTAGATATTATCTAGCAAGTTAGTGAAATGAAATCCAGTAGAAACAGGAAATCCGGGCTCGGAGAGATCAGCTAAGACTTCATTAATTATTCAATTTTAGGGTCATGTTAGGAATATCAATCTCTTTTTGACCAGCAGAATATCAATCTCTTTAATATTAGAGCTAAATTCTTAATAATTATATTTGAATTTTGAGGGGAGGGGGACAAAAAGAAGTTGTTACTAGCTCAAGCTTTTAGAAGAAATTCACGATGAAATTAAACATCGATACTTTTTTTTTTTTATACAAAAAACTGGCACAGCCACCTTAAAGGCGGTTTCTCACACGAGCCTCATCCCTAATTATCCCTACCACGCCACTCGGTGCATCCGAGAAGAAAGTTAGCCCTTCCGCATGATTCAACGCCTCCTTCGCAAGCGTATCCGCAACCTCATTCAGAGCCCGACATACCCAGTTGAACTGTAGGTTCCAATCCCGTCTCTGCATGCTCAGGATCTCACGGATCAGGTCCTCGTCATCACGGTCCTCCGCCTCGCCCAGCATAATTGCATCTAATAGATCACGACAGTCAGATTCTATCACAACGTACCGGAATCCTTTATCCCATGCATATTTCAAGCCCCACAGCACACCCCAGGCTTCAGCACGGGCTGCATTCCCTGGCCCAATATTGAACATAAAACCTCCCAGAACATCCCCCCTGTGACTACGTAAGATCCCTCCGCATGCTGACTTGTCGCTCGCCCTAGATGCAGCCCCGTCAACATTCATTTTTACTGCCCCTACTGTTGGCGGCTCCCACCTTTGTGGGCTCGTCTCACCGGGTTGACTTGCACGCTTGTTAATACTAGCCCAATTTGAGCATGCCGACGACTTGCGGATGATGGTGGTAGCATCTTCCAGTTTTTGTTCAAAAACGTACCCGTTCCTGGCTATCCAAATTTGCCTGCAAGCCAAACTAAACCAGACTTTCCATGGTACTTGACTTACTCGAAAGGTTTGTCTCGTGTTCCAGTGAATCCACTCACTCACGTCTTGCCGCGCAAAGAATTGGCCATGCATATGGCTAGGAAGCATTCTGCTCCACACTTCCAGAGCCACCTGACAATCCCGAAGTGAATGCAAGGCACTTTCATATTCATGCATGCAAATACTGCATGCTGGTGATGGCGCCATTCCCCGGCGGTAGCGAGAGGCATTAGTAAGCAGCCGATTCCTACAAGCTAACCACAAAAAAGTTTTACATCGTTGGGGTACTCTCAGTTTCCATATATTCTGCCACATGCTTTTCCTAGGGTCCCCTCCCGTATTGCTCAATCTCATATAAGCGGACTTAGTCGTGAACGAGCCTGAGGGGGACCACCTCCACATTGCCACATCTGGCTGTGCTGGGTTTATAGTCACTGCATTAATCTCACAAATAACCCGAGCAGGGAGATAGGCGGTAAGGAGATTTGTCTTCCACATTCCTGAATCAGAGACCATATCCGCAACCTTAAGATGTGCCAATTCGTAAGGTATTGGCGTGGTAGCGAGGCCAAGGAGATTGTCGTGGTTTGGCAACCAGTGATCCTGCCAGAAACATATCTGCTTTCCGTCGCCCACCTTCCATTTCAGACCTTCTTTAACTGACTCCCAATTACTCTTGATGCCCAGCCACGCCCTTGATCCCCTCCTGCCCTTATCAATTTTTGGCAGAAGGTCATTTCCACACAATATTTCTCACGCATAAACTGAACCCACGGTGCATCTCGTCGGTGTATGAGAGACCAACCTAGTTTCATCATGGAGACGTTATTTTGTAATTTGGCTTGCCTAAGCCCTAGTCCGCCGTCTTCTTTAGACTGACACACCTTATCCCAAGCCACTAAGTGGACTTTTTTCCTTTCATCACTGCCTCCCCAAATGAAGTTCCAACACTTTTTATCAATTTTCTTACACACCGAATCAGGGAGAGATGCTGACTGCATGCTGTAGGATGGAATAGTAGACAAGACCGAAGCCACCAACGTGCATCTTGCCGCCATAGAAAGGGACTTTGACTTCCAGCTCGAGAGTCTCGCGTCCATTTTGTCAAGTATAAATTGATAAGTTTGTTCAGATACCCTCCTATGGTGGATTGGAACTCCTAAATATTTCCCCATATCTGCTGTGGGAGTAAACCCCAAAAAGCTACTAATCTCCTGCACTCGATTATGATGCACATTATCTGAGAAGAAAATACGGGACTTAGAGTTATTTACTTTCTCCCCTGATGCAGCGCAAAAGTCATCAAGACAGGCTTTGACTAGTCCAGCCTGCTCCATATTAGCCTCCGCAAACAAGAAGAGGTCATCCGCAAAGAACAAGTGGGAGACCGTCGTGCCATTTTTCTTCAAGCGAAAGGGGAGCCAATGCTTCTCCTCAACTTCAGTTTGGATCAGATGCGCCAATTTCTCCATCACTATCACAAACAGGTAGGGGGAAAGAGGGTCTCCTTGCCGAAGGCCTCTGGTAGGAAGAAAAGTTTCCCCATGAGTTCCATTCCATGATATTTGCATTTTTGCAGAAGACACACAGTGGTGAACCACGTTGATCACATTCTGAGGTAAATTCAACTCCCGCAGACAGTCTAAGAGGAAAGGCCATCGGACACGATCATATGCTTTTTCTAAGTCAATTTTAAGTGCCATAAAGCCCTTTCTCCCCTTCTTATTCCTCATAGAGTGAAAAATTTCTTGTGCCAAGATGATATTGTCTGATCCTAGTCGTCCAGGGACAAAACTGCATTGGTTTGGCGATATCACTAGCGGCAACAATCTTCGAAAGCGATTTGCCAAAATCTTAGTGAGAATTTTGTAAATAACATTGCAAAGGCTAATGGGTCTGAACTCTCTGATGGTTTCTGGGTGCTCGGTCTTGGGGATGAGCACGATGTTGGTTTCATTTATAGGAGCAATTTCAAGAGGAGAGTTGAATAATTTTGCAACCATGGTAATAATAGAATTGCCCACAATGTCCCACTGGCTTTGGAAGAACAGCGGGTTAAGCCCATCCGGTCCTGGTGCCTTTAGAGGCCCCATAGCAAACAATGCCTCCTTAACCTCAATTGGGTTGATATCTCTACCAATCCCAGATAAGATGATCTCATCAACGGTAGGGAAGACCCGCCCGAACAACACCGAATCAGTAGCTGTTCCTTCTTCGGTATAAAGGTGCTTGTAGAATTCTGTACCCAACTGCATTATTTCATTTCTGTTATACGACCAGCTGCCATCTTCTCTCCGTAAAGCTTCAATATTATTACGTCGTCTCCTACTGTTGGTCATAGTATGAAAGAACTTTGTGTTCTTATCACCATCAGTGTACCAACTACATCTCGACCGTTGCAGCCACATGATTTCCTCCTGAACCAAAACCTCTTCAAGCTCCTTCCACGACTCCCCTCTCTCCTCTAGTAATCTGGTGTTTGTTGGGTTCCTTCTAAGCTGCCTATTTATACCTTCCATTCTACGTAAAAGGGAGCTTTTCTTTTTATTCACATTGCCGAAGACATCCTTATTCCATGTACTGACATTCTCTGAAAAAGTGGCGACATTCTCATTCCAGGGTCGAGAGGGAACCCAGGAATGCTTCACAACGTCCTTAAAGTTTTCATGGACAACCCATGGTGCAAAGAACCTGAAGGGCTTCACTTGCTTGTTCTTCTCCTTGTTCCTGCACGTACGAAGGAGGAGCGGCGTGTGATCCAATTTCAGCTGTGGAAGATGGGTCACAGTGGCTTGCGGAAAAGTGTCGAGCCAACTAGTATTAACGACGGCTCTATCAAGTCTACTATGGCTGCCACCCCTGCTCCAAGTGAACCTAGGGCCGATAAAATCAAGATCGCACAGCCCATACTCAGTCACCCATTTATGGAAAAGCGGGTCCACATGGGTGTGTGATTTGCTCACCGAAATGCGTTCTTGGTCTCGAAGAGTGGTATTAAAATCGCCGCATATACACCATGCACCTGTGCTATTCTCTGCCAGTACAGAGAGGGAACTCCAGAGCCCTCTGCGTTTCCTGCTATCAGGGCTGCCATAAACCACCGTAAGTGACCATTCCTACCGAGCCCCTTCATTTATGATACCATGGAGCACTTGGTCATTTTTACATACAACTTTGAAGTCAAAGTCACTCTTCTAAAAACACCAAATTCCTCCACTAAACCCAACAGTGTCGACGCATTCAAAGTTGGTGAAGCCCAATCTTCTCGCCATTTTTGCTGCATTCGCACTCTGCTGACGGGGTTCAAGTAGTGCAAGAAAGCCAAGGTCATACCGTTTAATCATCTCCGCCACTAACGGCACAAAGGATTTACCACCTGTGCCTCTCGAATTCCAAACTAAGAGATTCATAGGAAACTAGGAGAAGAAAGAGAACACCAGCGCGACATCACTGCCCATGCACATCGGATCCCGGCCCTTGATCCAACATCAGTTCGTCTACGTCAGTCTGCGAGAGAGGGTTCTGTCTAATAAGGAATTGGGCCCCGGAAGACGAGCCTGGGTCAATGGGATCATCATCAGTTCTCAACATCCCATTTAATTCTAAATTGACCGCATCACGTGAGAGCCTAGAGAGGGCCTTGTTTTTTTCCGGGTTGTTGTCTTGCTCTGTGGGTCTAAGCACAATTGCTTGACTCATATTTGGTTCGTCCAATCCAACTCTAGTCTTGGCTTTGATGTATGTATCCATTGGGCTTTCAGAATCTTTGTGTCCGTCATTGTTCCTTTTTGTCACGGGGTCCTTATTTTTCTGGGTCTTGGTACCTTTCTTCAGCCCATTAATGGTCTCCCTGGAAGGAAAATAATCCGCTAGTTTAGGGCCGTTTCCATGAGATCTCTGCTCCACAAAATCCTCCCTTGTATCCATCTCTAGAGCGACAAATCTGGAACCGTTATTCTGTGTATTCGAATCCCGATTTCCTCGGCGAGCATCTCTCCCTTTCCCTTCTGCTCCGCCTGGTCGTCTCCCCTTCCAAGGCCGTTGCACCACCATCCAGCCACCATACTCCGGCATTGGGGAAGTTCCAGATTCCGTCGCATTTGCTGATGTCTTACTCTCCGTGTGATTCGAGGGAGGAACCATCTGCGTAGTACTCTCTTGACAATGGTCGGAGTCATGACCATACTTCCCACACTTGAAACAGATTAGGTGAAGCCCCTCGTACTCCACCTTCTTTGCCTTTCCATTCACTAGGATGCATGGTTGCAAGGGCTTCTTGAGATCAATTTGAACACAAATTCTTGCAAACCTTCCCTTGAGTCGTTTGTCCGTGTTCCTGTCAACTTTCAACACTGTTCCAATTTGACTCCCCACCACGTACAAGATTCCGGGGTCGTAATAGTCCATCGGGAGTCTGGTTATCCGCACCCATGCTGCGACACTGGTAATCTCTTCCTCTTCGGGGTCAAAGTCCTCCTTCCATGGTTGAACGTTGATATAGTGATCAAAAATCAGCCATGGCCCTCCCGTAAGCGCTCGATCATATATTTCCTTGCTCTTGCACTCCACCAGGAAGAACCCAGAACCAATGTCTATAGGCTTCACGTCACCCCAGATCTGTTCCAGCTTATATGCGAGGATATCCTCCCTCACCATCCGCCCCAGCACGTTAATAATAAGGGACTTCCGCCATCTTTTTGCTAAGCGAGCCTTGAACTCAGGTAGCAACGTGATGTTAGGACCTTTTGGTGTTCTCGTAACGGCAATACACGACTCCCAACCACCATCTCTCCACCACTCACCTTCATCATCTAGATCGTCATCGGAACTAGCCTCCTTGGAGCAGGCTTCCCGGTACGTTTTCCTCGACCCTTCAGCGTTCTCTCCAGACTGTTCTTCCTCCATCCAGTCTTCCACTCTCGGAACCACAGCACGACCTTTGGGGGCATGGCTTTCTCCCATTCGCACTTTCTTCCTGCTTCTCTCCAAGGCGTCGGCTTCTTCCGTCGAAGTTGGTGTCGCCATTCCATAAGATACATGACATGATTAAAACTGAAGTTTCCATAAGATATGACATGATATAAAGCAAGAAATGACATAAAACGAAGTAACAAAATACTTTTCCGGTCCTTAATATAGAACTCAATTGTTGAGTTGGTTTTGGTTCTATATATAAGATCCATTTCTCATATTTATCAATGTTATTTAAATTATCCCTATAGATACTCCCTCAACCATAATCAACTAGAAGAGAAAGAGAGGTAATTAAGAAAGATGATTATGGTATTTTACAAAAAAAAACAAGTTACATTTATTATAATTAACTAACTTATCTAATTTTCTTAATCTAATCAAATTAGTTAAATAGGTCTTATATTAAGAACCGAAGGAGTAGATTGTATCATCGCAGAACATGTTGTTCCTTCACCACTCATGCTTGCACAAAGATTTTTGGTCATACATATGAGCCTGGAAACACTCCTTCTTAACAATGAGGCATTATAAGGGGGCCATGGTTAGAATATAAATATTTGTAAATAATGAAACCAAACCTAAGATTATATATATTTTAATATTGACACACTATCTTTCCAATCCTAGGTATATGATCTGTTAGTTGTTTTTTTTTTCCCATTCTGGAAAGTTGTTACAGGAAGCAAGTTATGTCGGCAAAAGTTGAAAAATGCGCGTGGATCATTCAACGTACGCTGGCAAAATCCCATCCCCACTTCTTTTTCTATCAATATATCATATAAATCTCTTCCCCCAAGCCGGTTCCATATCACGGCTCCATGTTGGCTCCTCTCACGAACTTATGGTTCATGGCTTAATGCCAAAAAAAAAAAACATACATGCGGCTTTATCAAAGCTTTTAAGCTTATAAGGATGCATTGGGCTTTGTGTATATATGCTTCACAGTATGAAAGTTTCTACTTTTACGGTCTCTCTCTGCCTCCCGCCTAATTTTGTATTCACTGAGAATAAAATTTTGAAAAAAAAAAATTCTGCTCAGTGTTTCTTTTCCATTTTCATGACAGTGATACAATGGCAGAGGAAAGAAGTCAGAGAGACTAACAAGGAAAAGGCAAATAGCAGAGCAGAGTCACAAGCAAATCAAAGAAGACTGCAATTCTGTCATCAAGCTGGGTCCTTTACCTTATCTGAGCATTGAAATTTTTTCCTTTGATTCCAGTCTTTGTCACTGATTCAAATTTGAAATTTAAATTTTCAAATGTTGTCTTGTCCCTTCCAAGTTTGAGAAGTACCAATTGAGTTTGTTTGCATGGACGTATCCTCTTTCTTCTCCTCTCCATTCTCCTCTTTGTCTAGCGTGTCGACGTCTGAGTGTCACTTGGTTCCGTGTTATCCTTTGTACTTGTCGCTGAATTTTCCCGTATCATCTCCTCGCTTTGGTCGCTCGTCCCCCCTGAAGAGATGAGAGCCATCTGGGACAAGTGTGTAGGAAGCAATAATTAGTTGGGGATTTACATCAATGATTGGGATGAAGCAAAGAGATGGATGATGTTACTGTTGTTTGTAGGCGGCAGCTTTGACACACCCACACAAAAATCACAACATTGTTATCCCAAGGTTTGGTGGGTGCACAGCTCCTTGCTGGAAATCCTTCTTCAAGATCTTCCCCATTTGTTTCTTCAGTGAGAATAACGGCCATGGTGGATCTCAGGCACAAGCCCCTTTGTTCTTCACCCAACAGTTTTTCCATTTGGATTTTCGAATTTTCTTCATATACATTTCACCATTATACTTCTGTTATTTTTATAAAAATATTTGAATATTTGGAAAACTTGCAAATGACCTTTGAGTCATAATCTGCTCTTCATTTATCAGTGATGATTCTTAGTTAAAGGGAGGTGTCCAATTCTTCGTACGTGCGATGGCAAGAAATAGGCATGTACTTGCTTCTTCAGATGTGACTACGCGCATTACCCATGGCAGCCAAACGTTAAATTTGACATGTTGGTGGCTGAAATGTTTTGTAGTAGATACAGGTTATTCAAAATCACTTGTCTATCCCGATTATGTTTGAAGTAATTATATGTATATGAATCATTTGTAGTTCTTAACCAGTTATTGATTCTAATGCATTTCCTTTGCCTTCACTGTTAACATTTTGTATAATAATTTGAGTGACTAATTGTGTTAGCAATCTTCTAAAAATTATTTGAAACTTTAATGGAGAATTTCTGACAATAGTGTGTAATTTTGAAGCTTATTTTGCTGCATAGAGGAGGGAGAGGGAGACAGCAACAACTAATCTTTGGTTCAAAAGGCCATCGAACAAGGAGGAAGAAATAATGAAAAAGGAGACCTTTTTGGCCTAGGATTCGGAGAAGCTTCTTTTTTATTTTTTTAGACAAGAATTTATTTTGGTTGACAAAGTATTTGGCCCTCCTGTGAAAAAATTCTATCGCTTAGCAGTAGCAGAAAAGTTTTCCTTTCTTTATAATCCTTAAGCCAAGGCGTTGTAATTATGGATGAAAATAACATCATTAGGAGGAATTGGAGAATGAAAAAAGCACCTGCAACATGATAAAAAAAGCAAGAACAAGCATTAATTTAGATTATATTGTTATATATGTGATTTTGTTGTCTATGTTTTTTATGATTCTATTTATATCTAGGTGTGAAAAGGCAAAAGAGACCTTTGAATCATCTCAAGAAGCCATCAAATTTGAATCATGATTTTACATGGAAAGTGATCAAAGTTTCTACAAGAAGTTACAAGAAATGGCATCGATAGTTCAGTAATATAATTACCCTAGCCCATTTAGATTTATAACCATAAGATTTATATACTTTTCTTTTCAGTTGAAGGCAATACCTTCAGTTTTTTTTCTTTGATTTCAAATTTATTTATTTCAAATAGGTATATTTCCTCATATTGATTTTTATGTCTGTGTTATAATTAGTTTTTAAATTCTTAGTTGCAGTTTGGCATGTTTTCTAATGTTCATATTGAAGGTTGTTATATGAGAATGTGTACTCTTTTGGAGGCTAACATGTGATTTGATCTTGCCTCTAATTGTGAGTTTTGACGCAAGGGGTGATTGAACTAACAGTGATTGTGTACAATATGCAAGGTGAAAGAGTAACCATTGGATTTAGAGTTTTTAAGAAGGAACAGGTTTCACTTGATTGTAAAAAGTGTGCTTCATTTTAATTTGAAATGAGTCATGGATGAAGAACATATTCCTAAACCCATACCTATAACTATGCATTCTGATTGTGCTTTCAAAATGAAAAGGCAAAAATATTATGAACTAATAACAGTTGAAATTAGAGAAAGGTGGGCAAAAATAAACTTTGGTGTTTGTTTGTGTGATTGATAATCATTATTAAGATTTATAACTTCATTCTGTAGTTTTTGAAGTTAGACTATTATGATCCATAAAGAATGGTTAGGGGTTGCAGCATGAAAGCTAGGAAGATTATTGAGTGAAAAAAAAAAAATTAGAGCATGTATAAGACTTGATTCAATACAAATTTGTTATTTATTTCTCCCAAACAGTTTACTTTCTCAGGTCATTTATTTGTATAAGCCAACTTTATAAGCCTTCTCAACTTTAGATGAGATTTTCCGATTTAATTGTTTGTTTCAGAATGATAAACATTACCTTTAAACAAATTGGTACACAAATACTATGTAATATACAAATGTCATTCATATTTTATCATATAAATTAGGCATGTTTATATTTATAGAAATTTTTTTATTAGTTTTTCATTCTATTGTGTGTAAAAGTTTTGTGATTTATATTTAGAATAATGATTCATATAAATACATTCTGAATATTTATATTTTGGATGAACGAGCACCATCTAGTTTCCCTGAAAATATATCCCCTTTTTCCCCACTTCACTTGCTTTTCGGAATTTTTTTTTTGGCCTGAAAACTTGCTTTTCGGCTTTCAGTGGACAAAATTGAAAACGTGCAACAACCCAAAAAAAAAAAAAAAGTTCTCCGCGTGTTTCTTCTTTTTTTTTCTTTTTTTAAACCTCTTACAAGTAGATGATTTGATGCCCCAAATCAATCAAATAAATTTAAAAGACAGACTATACTAGTAATCAGCAATGAATTAGTAAATGAAAATATGATCACCACAAAAACAAAGAAGAGTTATATTAAAGCGCCAAACGGAGATATTAATTATTAAAATAATATCAAATTTATCACTTATTTACTCATAACATTATAAAATAATAAGCATTTACCATTCACCCAAGGCATATTTATAATTTAAAATGTTTTTATTGAAATGGCACAAATTTATGAGTGAATTAAAGTAATAAATATTTAGTCCTCAAAAGTGATACTCCCCGTAAACAATGAGAATATTATTAGGCCTACATAAATATAATTTTATGTGAGAACATAATTTTAAATGGAGTAACGGAAAGCAAGAAGCTGGCCGGGCAGGCGGGCACGGCGAAATGCGGGTGAGACCAAAAGCGGCGACAGCGGAGGGAACTGGAGACGAGGTAACAGTGATTGATAATTTTGTTGCCCAGAAGCCACTAGGGTGGGGTCAGAGGTAGTCACCTGTTACTGTACTGACCGTGAGAAAGTTGGAAATAAATTGTGACAACAAAATACTTTTACACCAATCACAATTTTTTTTTTTGAATGAAAAAGGACAAACAGGAAGGAACTACAGAAAAAACAACGCAAAAACACCAATCACAATTTAACAACTTATCCCACATGCAATATTGACTTTTTCTTTCTTGTTTCTTTTTATTTTTTATTGGCGTGGCAAGAATTATGGATCACGTGCACCTCGCTAGTTATCCCCCTTGGGGGGCATGGGGTTTCGTTTGAAACCGGTCGAAAATTTGGCTTCTTTAAAAAAAAATTATAATATATGAAATAAAAGATAAGTATATAAGTAAAATCTTTAGCTTGATTTATATAAAAATTTTAATAAATACTTTAAAAATCTGTTTGTAGTTTTTTAATTATAATTTACAAAATAAGAGATAAATATGTATGCAAAATTTTGTTTTGGTTGATATAAAACATTTTTGTAAACATTTAGAAAAGCCAATCCCAATGAGACCAAGATAAACATATGCAAATAAGTTCGAACAGGCAGATACTCCACAGATAATCATCAAACAAATCATATTACTTCTCACTTAATTTATATTTTGATTTTAAATATAACATTTTAATCTATTTTTGTCAAATTTATGATTTTTTTCATAAATTCCTTTTTATTAATTATACATATTAAAAAATTTCTTCTGGAAAATAATATATAATATAAATAGTTAAAATAGGTATTTTAATAAAACTAACATATATTATTATAAATAATTAATTTAACTAATTTTTTAAATTTTTTGTAAATTAGTTATCCAACTCTTATATTTAAAACTAGGGTTAATGTGCGTCCAGTATCTCGAAATATTTTTTCAAGTATATTCGGTACCTTAAAATATTTTGTGATGCATCCAGTACTTCAAAGTATTTTTTGGGTACATTGAGCATCTTGAAATATTTTTTATACTTAACATTCTATACTTATTTAACAGCGGTCAAGTAAATTAATGTAATAACCCGACATCGTAAACTTGACCCTTTTTTGGTTCTTGAATCCCTAAAAGGTTAATCCTATTTTAGTCCTGAAATTTAATTTAATTTTAATTTTAGTTTCTGTAATACAACTTAATTTTAATCCATCTAAAAAATTTTTATCTCTGGAACAATATTTCAAATTTCAGGGATCAAAACCAAAATGTGATTAAATTTTAGGAACTATATTAATAAGCCATCATTAAATAAATAACTATTTATTTGACTGTTAAGAATTTAAAAATTACGTATAGACTTAGAATTTAATTTACATCTCACCAAATGAGAACAAAAAAAATCGTTGAATATACTGTTTTGATCTGTAGTACACAACAGAACTCATATTTCCACACCCATGGTTTGAAAGGAAAAATTTCAAACCCTTCTAACAAGCAAAGAAAAACGATGGAACCGAAATCATGTTGTCAGTGGCAAATTCAAATGAAAAAGAAGTGTGATTATTGTATTGATCCAACCCAACCGCACAAGTTTGTTCTCAAGCACTTTGGTTGATGAGCCTTGTTCTATACGATATATGTAGTTTCAACATTCAACCAGACGATATTGGGGACCTCCATGATAGTAACAAGGGTGAAGAAGAAAACGTTTAGGAGTCAAAGGACTACCCACAGAAATGTGATCAAGTCCAAGCCTCCATTCCCTAATCCCCCGTAGTACGTTATAATTGCTACGTGTATAGATCCAAGAAGACCGTCAAGTCACCCGACACTTCAAAATTCAAACCCTCCTCTGTCGACTTGCCTCCACTATGCACCACATTTCTCCCTCTTTCGTTTTTCATATGTAAGCTTTACATTAAATTATCATGAAAGTCCACCTTGTTGATTACTACCTCCGGTTCTAATTATAAGATCTCGTTCATATTTATAATTAGGACCAGAGGTAGTAATATATTCTTGGTAAACTATAGTATAACGATGATAGTTCTTTGAAAATAGAGGGAAAGGAGATGAAATTATGAGATTTCGTTCATACTTATAATTATGGAACACTTTTTTGTGATTAATTCGTTCTTTCATATTTTTATTTTAAGGTACAAGTTGGGTTAATGATAAATTTCTTTCAAGATACGATAGAAACCATTGAGTCCTTCTATTTTTTTAAAACATAAATTTATCGAAAATTCAAATCAATATTAACCAACACAAAGTGAGTATATGCTACCTCTAGTATTAAATATAAGAACTAGTTGATAGTCCTAATTGTAAAATCTCAATTGATTTTGTTTTCCAAATTTATAGTGTGTTTTCCAAAATATACCTATTGATTGGAAGATATTTTCATCCAAATGTAGTTTCAATGTATATAATTAAATAAAAATAATTTAGGAAAGTCATCACACATTTATTATAAATAATTAAATTAATTTTTTTAATCTCTTCAAATTAGTTATCTAGCTCTCATATTAAAAATCAGAGGTAGTATTATTTATAGCAACCAATATTGCTCAAAATTCAGCATTATCATATTGCAGGTGAATGCTCGATGGAAATCTCACTCCTCCTATCATCATTCAGACTATAATTTTGGTCATTCTAGACCGGTTCTCTTTTACTCCTTATGAAATTATATGGTATTGTAACATATTTTTCTGTAGTAATTCTACCTCCGGTTCTTAACATAAAATTTCATTTGAATTTTATTTTGATTCTAAATATAAGATCTCAATCTACTTTATTTTTCATATTTATCTATTTTTTAAGATAATATTTACAATAATAATAGTTCTAACTAATATACTTGATTAACAAGAATATTCAAAGAAAGACAATAATTATTTATTATAAATAACTAATTTAACTAATTTTATTAATCTACTCAAATTAATCAATTAGCTTTTATATTAATTACTATCTCCGATCCTTATTATAAAACCTCGTTTACAAAAATAATGTTTTATATTTAGAACCAAAGGTAGTATTTCATTTTATTGGAAAAATGCTTAGGAAAAGTGTGCAAATCATATTCAGAAGATAATTTATATAATTTATCAAAAAAAAAAGGGAGAAATTTTGAATTGATTCTCTCTAATATTTACCGCCGCATCTCCTTCCTCTTTAATTTTTTTCTTTCAAATTTGTATCGAAATAAAAATTTAAGCTTTCCCGGCCTTTTTCTCAATATTGGGAATTGAGATATTTGGATTGGGCCAAGTCTTTTGACCTGGATCTAAACCGCTATTGAGCCCACAAGCACGGGTTATCAAATCATCCCTCCCCACTTCCACTCTTTGACTCGCGGACGCCATTGCGGTCACGGAGAAAAAGCGGCTTTTCCCGTTTCTGCACGTGAGGCTTCGCTCCGATCACTGCATTTTGGTTCCGGCGACTGTGCAAATCAGAACATAGGAGGTTTTTCTGTAAAAGGTATCTGATAATCACCATTTTTCCTAGTCTCCGCGCTAATGATTTCCCCTTGAAAATCGGTTTGGGTATTTGTAAAAGCAGTTCCTTGACAATGTAGAGCACAAGCGAGTGGGTGCAGTGTTACAGGAATACTTACTGTTTTATGGATAGTATGCGTTTTTGTTGTGAGTAATTATATCTTGGTTGTCGCCCTTGTTATGTAATTGTTGTTTTCTGAGTTTTCAATCCTGGGAAAGGAGTTTTTGACCAAATAAAGAACTCTCCCAGAAGAGTTCCCTGGTTTTAGGAATTTTGGCAATAATTTGCCTTTAAATATGTTCTAATGCTAACCAGTTTGTCATATGCTTTGCAAGTAATCCAGAATGCATGTAGTGGGGATTTCGTCAATCTTGAAAAAAAGGATTACAACTTGGAAAGTAACTGGTTCAGGGTAAAACATGCTTTCTAAATTTATAATTGGAAAAGAAAGCAAAAAGTGCTGGAGAGGGAGAGCTTGATGCAGCGTTAAAGTTGTCACCTTGTGACCTTGTGGTCACGGGGTTGAGTGAAAACACAGCCTCGTGAAATAAAAAATGTAGGGTAAAGGTGCATACGATAGATCCAAGAGGCCCCAACCCTCCCCAGGGGGCCAGACCCATGTATAGTGGGAGCTTCGTGCACTGGGTTGTCTCTAGTTATTAACAATTTAACACCAGTTCGGAGTCTCAATTGGGTTTCAGAGGCCAGTTCTGTGTTGGAGCGGTCTGATCTAGATTAAATTCTGCCAAATATGTTGTGACTTCACAGAGTCTAGCTAGCTCGTTAGAACAGGTTTGTATTTAAAAAGCTATTACCAATTTTATTCTTCAAGGGACTTAGAACTTATTGATGAATAGTTATGATAATGAATAGTGATCTTTTAATATTTAGAATATGACCAACCTTCTTAGACCTTAGCTACTTGCTGAGCTGAATGTACTTTGGAGAGTTCCTTTTTATGACCTGGTGATGAATCCAACTTACCTATATACTCATTTGACACATAATTGTATGTACATTTAGTTAACAGACCAAGATTATTGATCCCCTAATTATTGTTGGCTCAATTTTGTTTATAATTTTGAATTCACTTATTTATTGGTATTTTGAAAATCTGAGGGTGCCTCAATGGATAGTTTCATGTATCTTTACATATTTTGGTGTTTGCAATATGTTGAATTTTGACTTGAGAGCAATATTTCTTCCATGGTCATTGCTTTGTCATGTGTGACCCGTCCACTGAATCATTCTCCCCAAGTTAAATGTACTCTATAACTGGCTGGATTATTTTACCTTTTTTTGTTGGCCGAACATTTTACCTCAGTTATTACTCAGATTACTTAGATGCTATTGCTTTATACATACCACTTGGACAGTTGCAAGGGATGAGTGGGTGATGGATTCCAAAATCCTCAATATATTATGATAGTATGAATGTTTATGGGCTTGTTTGATCATATGATAGAACAGTCATAAATCTCTTGGCTTGTTAGTGAATAAAAATCTAATCTGACCTTAATCTATTCATTTCAAACTCGATGCCTTATTGACTCTTTAATATCAATCAGGATGCCTCCATTTCTGTTGGAATTCATTAAGAGAAAAAGTATGGCCAAAAAGAGGAAAAGAAGACACAAAAAAAGAATATTGAAGGGGAAATACCATGCGGACTGGTCAAGCCTCCCTCAAGATATTAATGAAATGATTGTTGACAAACTGTGTTTAGTTGATCGCTTATCCCTTAGTAAAACTTGCAGAAGCTGGAATGCTTTTCTTGGTGAAGACCTTCCTGGTTGGCAAACCCATGGACTTCCTTGGCTTCTAGTGTCAGGTGAGCAGTGTAAAGAAGATAGAACTTGTATTAGCATACTAGATAACCGTGTTTGGGAATTGAAGTTGTCAGAAGCATATGACAAGTATTGTTGGGGATCATTTCAGGAGTGGCTAATTATGGTAAAAGAAATGAACAGTTTCATTCTTGAAATTATGTTGTTGAATCCTTTTACAAGAAGCCAAATTACTCTGCCTCCAATATGGAACTTTTACCACAAGATAGTGCTATCTGGGCGTCCCTTTGAGAATGACTTTATGTGTATGCTTCTACATAGCCAGCATAGGGAGCTGGCTTTTTATATGCCACGAATACAATCATGGCTTAAACATAAAATGACGGGTGAACCATTTGAAGATGCTGTATTTTGTAAAGGAAGTTTTTTTCTCTTAGATGGAAGTTATAACATATGGCAAATTGATACTAAAAGTATCTGCTCTAGCGCTAGTAAAGGTGATGTTCATTTTGGAACATTGCCTGAACTAGAAATACATTTTCATGAAATGAAAATGCTAGATATGATGCAGTTGAATGTTGTAATATTGGAGAGGAATGATGAGCATCGCATTTTAAGATATCTTGTGGAATCTTGTGGGGAGGTTTTGCTTGTTTGTAGATATTTTCACCCAAAACAAGATCTAGTGCTTGAGACACAAAAATTTGAGGTATTTTCGTTGGATCTTTGTCAATCATCTTGGAAGAAGGTTGAGGATTTGAAGGATCGGATGCTATTCATAGGAAAATGTTGTTCATCATCATTCTCCATTGAGGAACTTGGAGTTGGGATTAGCAACAGCATATATTTTACCAATGATCAGGCTGCACCTTGGTGGAATGAGTGGGATTCGAACCATTTGAAAGATATATCAACTCGTCTAGGATTAGTCAAGAATGTTGGTAGAGATTGGGGTAATTTCAAACTCGGAAATGAAGATGGTGAGCCTTTTAGCTTTCGGGGAGACATAGAGAAATGGTCGTATACTTGGTTTACTGCTCCCATATGGTGGTACTGCAAGAACGTTCCACCTATTGAAAGTATTTAAGGGTCAGTTTGTTTGAAGTGAAGGGAAAAAAAGAAGAAGAAGAAGAAATTTTAGTTAAGTCTAACACTTAAATTGTTGGAAAAAATCAAGCTAATCATGAAGGTTTTGTTGGCTGGTGGGCAAGCCAGCGTGTAAATATATCCTTGGTGGAGAACATGGCTTGTCTTGTGGACTGCATGTTTTAGCTCTGACTATACTTTGGTTTGTCTTTGTTGTCACATTGCTTGAATTAACACTAAACTCCTAAAGGTACTAGATTACTAATTAGATAAATTTCTGGAAATTTTAACCCATAAACAAAGTGGAAGAAAGTAGATTATTTCCTTCATCAGAGTGACAATTATTTGAAACTCAAGAAACGAATTATTATTGATCCAGGTGAGAGAACATTTTGGTGCTTCCATGAATAAAGTATGATAAAAGCTTTTTACAAAAAGTTCGCATATAAATAGACTTTTGTCTTTCTTTGGAGAATTCTCCCAATAATAGGGGAAGGAATAGCATCCTGGGCATGGAGGGTTATAAAGAATCAATTCTAGATTGACGCTCAAGTATCAACCAATCCTTTTATGGTTTGAATATGCCAATTCATAATTGAATTCCACACATCCCTAAATCTAAAACAAAATAATCAAATAAATAACGAAGCATCATCTTCGGAGCATCACCACTTATCTTCCCTTTTTCTGCTGCATTATTGTGACCGAGGTGCCTTCCAGTTTTGTTTGTTTCCAGGTCCAAAAAAAAGTCCCTGTTAGCCGAAGGTCATAGGTACGACCAATCCTCAACCTCATTACATGCCACTAAGCTACAGTGAGTTATGCCTTTCTAAAAACTTTAGTCTCATTAATTTGGTCCATTGATAATTTTATATCAAATGTAGCGTCAAATATAATATACTCTTCTGATTCTTAATATAAGATCTATTTAAATAATTTGATTAAATTAGAAAAATTAGTAAGTTAATTGATTATAAGAAATATAACATATTTTTTCTAAAATTATAATTATCTTCCTTAATATCCCTTATTCTCTTAATTGATTATGATTGAGAGAGTATTAATAGGGATAATTTAGAAAAAATTAATAAATATGATAGATAGGTCTTATATTTAGAATAAAAAATAACTCAACAATTAGGTCATATATTAACGATTGGATAAGTACTATTTTCTATTTTAATAAATTTATCATTATACTCGCATTCGCAACTTCCATAAAAATATATCAATTTTTAAAGTTATTAGTCGCCAAGTAAATTATTACTTAAATGTTTTGCCACTATATTTATTTAATGTTTGTATTGATAGTCCATTGCAAAACAACTAAAATAAAATATCTATTATGTTTTTATTATGACCAACCATGGCTAACTTATTTGAGCAATTTGATTTGTACCAATATTTAATTTGTAATCGGATTGAATTGTAATGTGCTATCATGATTGTGCCAAGCAAAAAGGTTCTCTGCTGGTTAAAAATAAAAAATAAAAAGTGTGAAGGTTCTCTGCTTTTCTGTGGGCACTCATTAGTATACTAGTATTCACTAATTGACTATTTTGTAGATTATTAAATTTAAAAAGAAAAAAGAAAAAGAATCAAATTGGGCCGAAAGTTGGATGCACACAATTGAATGATAATTATTGAAGTGGCCAATGGACAGTTTGAAGTGGCCAATTATTTACTGTGATCCAGATAATTGGGTGAATTTACCACTAATCTGTGGTTCTTTATGGATTTTTATTTTTTAGATTCTCCTGCTGCTGAATAAGTTTCAATTTTGTCCTTCAAAAACAATGGAGGGTCACTATGTCACATCTAATTTAGAATCCACGCAATAAGCCAGTAGTTTAATTTTTTCATGTTTATAAAAGGGATTGAATATAATATATTTAAAAAAATGTCGAAAAATATAAAAATAAATTACATGCAGGTTTATTACTACCTCCGGTCCTAATTATAAGAGCCAGTTGAGTAATTTGAGGAGATTAAGGAAGTAAGTTGAGTTAGTTATTTGTCCTAAATAGGTGTTGTCTTTCCTAAAATATTCTTGCTAACCAAGTGTATTAACTAGAACTATAATTATTAGAAGGATTATCTTGAAAAAAATTGAGTAAATATGAGAGACAAAGTGGATTGGGGTCTTATATTTAAGACCAAAATAAAAGTCAAACAGGATCTTATATTAAGGATCAAAGGTAGTATTATTTTCATTATTATCTCCTTCTTTGAATATATAATCGCATGATTCTAACATAGTTTTAATTTACTTTACATCATGTATATATGCCTAGCAAACCGTCGTCGTAGTGTACAATTTTGAGAATTAGGAGAAAAACTCTAGAACACTTTTTCATGGAGTAATTTGGAGATGAGGAATATATGATAAATATATGGTTAAACAAATATTTTTTAAGCTGAAATCAATATTAATTTCAGTATTACTCCATATCAAATATAAAATTTATATAATAAGTTATATTCTGTAAAATATTTGTCATATTTTATATGATGATACATAAAATAAAATCCATCTAGTTTCATAAAACAGGTTGAACTGGCAAGTTCCTAAATTTTTAATTATTTCTTAGGACTTCATGCATTTTCATGCATGCAAACAAGTCACAAGACTCTCAAAAATTTTGTACAGTTATAATTATAATGAATTTTATTTATTTTCTGACATATTGTCTAGTTATGTGTAGCTGCGCAGGCGTAGCGAACATACATGATCAATAATTCAAAATATACTAAAACGACTTAGATTTTAAAAATAAAAAAATAAACCTAAATTATTAAAATTTAATTTAGGCAATTTAGGTTAGATATGTATTTAATAGTAGTATATCACCAACCTACGTGTAATCTAATGTATATCACCAAGAATTTTTAATATACGTGATGAGGAGACAACTTTGTTGACTTGGTTTGGTTTTAGATGCACAATAAACACATGCCAGCTCAGGAAAAAAAAAGAATAATTCAAGTGAAACATATTAAATACTAATTTTAAGTATTTTTTATTTTTCACTGATTAAAAAATGGGATATAAAAAAATCAATGAATTTGACTGGAAAACGGATGAATTTATTGTGGTTTAAGCAGATGGATTTTTCAAAACAGATCTAAGATAAACTGATCAAACATTGACCAACTTTAGCAGCGAATTTATATTTATATTTATTTTTCACGTTTTTGTCCAAATTAGAGTTTTAATATTTTGTAGGGAAAATTTATTTTTTGGTCCCCACAGTTTTGACATGTTTATAACTCAATCCCTATACTTTGATTTGATACAACCTCAGTACTTATAGTTTTGACTCAATTGTAATTCAATCTCTAAAATTTGACTCGCTATAATTAGATATTTATAATTTTACCCATTTTATAATTTAGTCCTTGTATTTTTTAAAAATAAAATTGTACATCTAATAAAAAGAGGGACTAAATTATAACATAGTTAAAAGTATAAGGACCAAATTACAGCGAGTCAAATTTTAGGACTGAGTTACAAACGAGTCAAAATTATAAGATTGAATTGTATAGAGTCAAAGTATAAGAAATGAGTTATAAATAAGTAAAAACTATAGGGACTAAAAGAATTAATTTTTCCTATTTTGTAATGCAGATATATACGGCATTATAAAAACTCTAATAAACTTATAAACTTCTTTGTTCTTTCACATAAATTTTTTTGGTCATGGACGTACAAATACCTTTTTAAAAATTATCACAAAAGCAAATTAAAAAAATCTCATGTCTTTTGTAAAATAAAAAATGTGATAACAAATACTTTTAAATTATCTTAATTAATCGACGTATAATAATAGGTTGAAAATGGAACTTATGGCTTTCCTATGAGCCTGTTCAACTTCTTTATCACAATACCAAACTCAATAGTCCTTTTTCTTTGGTTGAGACTTAATGGAATTAATAATAATAATAGATAATGTTAATAATTAGATCCAGCTGTGCAATTTCGAGATTCAAAGCCCTTAAAAAAAAAATCTAAATTTATCAATGTGTCCTTTCCCCATGCGTTGGTAGCTTATTACATTCTTTAAAGTTCTTTTGAAAATATTTACATAAACTTTTTTATATTTATTATGATAATTAAATATTATCATTTAAAAAAACAAAAGACACATGATTATGTGTAAAAAAATTGAGATAATGGATATAAACAAGTTGATATAAGTAATAATTAATTTTTTTTACTTTTTTTAAACTAGTTTTCTATTTTCTATCCTCATTTTTAAGTACCATATTCTCTTTCATAATTTATCCCATCACCAGCATTTTTCTCTTATTTGCCCCTTTTAAATAATAAAATACTTGAAAAAATTAATTTTTATGTATTTACTATTTTTACTAATTTTAACTAGTTTTTCAAATTGTGCAATTTAATTAAAAAGATTTTATAAAAAGAACTAAAGAGAGTATTTAAATTGGTTAAAGTGTAGCACGTTTTTGATTCTTTAATCTTAAAATCATTGATAAAAATGATGATGCTAAGGTCTTAAGTGTTAATGAAATATTTTCAAATATTATTTCTTTTTGCTAACAAAACGTTATCAAATATTAACTTATTAAGTTTAATTTTTAAAATAATTATGATTGTTATAAAAAGCATCATACCAACGATTGTATAGGTGAATAATTAAAAACATTTCTTTTGAAATTTAAGGAAACAAATTAAAACTTGATATAAAAATAAAAGATCAAATGTATTTAAATTTAATCTCATAATATCAAATATCAAAGATCAAAAAGGATCACGACCAACAAAAAATAGACAATATATTGGAGTACTCTTTGACTATTACTCTTATATCATATATATACATATATATATATATATATTGCCAACTCCAATGCTTAATAATTTAGTTTGAGTTCAATTTTATTATAATTTTTAGATAAACCTAATTGACCTTAGGCATCGATTCGTGATTAGCCATATTAGAAACTGAGACTTATTTTATACTAACCCTATGGCCCATTGCAAGGCATCATTTTGGAAAAAATTTATACTTTATTTTATATGCCATTTTACAAAGTATTGAGAATACTAGTGTTTATCTCAAAGTTGTGCATAACTAATAAAACTAATTACTAGACCTCTCATTTGAGTCATCTACTAACTAACCGTTCGGCTTTCTATTGAATTTTGAAACTTTTGAGCTAATTACTTTCAATTTATCTTGAAACCCAACATTTTTTTACATGGAAAATAGCATTTCCAGAAGCGATATAAAGGGGGAAACAAAAATACATCAAAATAAAGCCTAATCCTGAAAGAAACTACAAAACCTAACCCTAATAAAGGACCAAAAAGTAGAGGAAGATGCCACCAAAAATGTCAAAACCCCTTCATCAAAGTTTCTAGATGGAGAAACGTTATCATAAACATCAATGCGATTGTAGTTGTGGGAATTAAAAGAACCAACCCAAAAGTCTCACCTTTACACAGCCAATATATGGGCAAGATATGCTCATTCCTTAAACCCCTTTTTTTTTTAAAAAAAAAATTTTTAATTTTTATTATTTGAATTAAGTTATATCCAACATCCTGTAACTTTTTAGCAGCATTCAGTATCCTAAACTGATTAATGTTTAACATACTCAGCATTTTAAATATTTAGTACATCCAATATCATAAATTCATTAATTTTTAATGCATCTCATATTCCAAAATATTTTTTCAATAGCACATATTATAAATTAATTATTTTTTAGTACATATATCATTCTCAAGTTTTTTTTCCTAATAACATTCAATATTTTAAATTAATTTTTTGTATATCCAGTATTCAGAAATATTTTTTCAGTAGCATCCACCAGCTAAAAAAAAAATACTTTGGATGCACCAAAAATTAATTATGATATTGAATGTTATTGAAAAAAATACTCTATCTAGATGTATTAGAAATTAATTAACTAGTGATATTAGGTGTTATTGAAAAAATATTTTGAAGTCTCACATACAATTTAATCTAAACAACAACAAAATAAAATTAAGACAAAAAAAAAAAAGGAAACATGGCATCTCATCCCCAAACCTTGCCTTTTGAGAAGTGAGCATTCCCTGTTCACCCCATTTGAAAACAACCAGTTTGGTTGTTGAAGTCTTGAAAACACATCCAGAGAAAAACTATCCACAAACACTAACCAAATTGACAATACAGGAGGAAAATGAGAACTCACTGTCCAGTGCCCACCTCACAATGAAAAACACTACCAAGGAATTATATTCCCAGTGAAAATCATATTAGAGATACTTATACTTTTTCTTAATTTTTAATTTGATACTTATGTTTTTTTTCTTTATTAAATCATTTAATTTTCCTTTTTTTAATAGCATTAGCTCTTATAACTTTGTTTTATTAGTATTTTTAGTGACTAATGTCTATGCAAGGATTAATAATATTAATAAAGCAAAATTAAAGATTTAATTAAGAGACTAAATTAAAAATAAAAAAAAGCACGTGATTTATGAAATCAAGATAAGTTGCAATGCTCCGAATTTTATAGCAATCCTATATGATCATTGATGTCATTTTTTGTTACTTTTTATTGAATTAGCAACCTTAAAAATTATAAATTTGCAACCTGCTTCTCATTTTTAGTTTGCAATGTTATTAATATCCGCCCATTATTTTGCATACTTTATATTAAAGCTAAAATTAAACATTGAATTAAAATATAATCAATTAAATGATACAAAACAAAATTGTGTAGCTACCGTTGCTCTGGAAATTTTGTCCAAATTTCAAATTGACCTGCCTAAGAATGAACTATTCGACAAAGACAAAAATCAATGAACTGCTCATTACCAAGCGTTCTTTGAAAAAAAAAAAAATCTTTCTTTTTAGAGGAATCGTTTTCTAATTTTTCTTCGTTGCCCATTCATTTAGTCAGAGCCTGCTTTGCCCATCACATTCTTCTGTGTTTTCTCAACTGCTTCTTCATCTTCTGGGCCATGCGCATCAATCCTTTTCGCCTTCTAATCTATTTACGCTTTTGCCCTTCTGTGGACCCCACCTGCCTTCCCTGCAATCTCCAACCAGATCCATTTTCTGCCTCCATCACGTTCGGTCATTTATTTAATTCAATTTCTCATCACGTTTTCATCTGCTCGCCGATTCACAGAACCTTCAAACCCTTCATCAAAAACCCTCATTTTCTTGTTCATTTGCTTCATTCCTCTGATTAATAGCCACTGATGCGAACTTTTCAATCTCGAAGAAGATTGTCGTAATATCGTTGACTGTACATATACTTTGGCGTGGTCGGATACCAGAAAAGAGAACTTTTTTTGCCTTTCTTTTTTCTGGGTCCTTCTAGGAATTGCATTCCTGTGCTACTTTTTTATTGTGTATACAAATGTTGGGTGCCGGATTACAATTTGGCCTCTCCCGTGGAGAAGATCGGTTTTATAATCCGGCAAACGCGCGTCGGCCTACTATGGAAAATGATGGGCTACGCAGAGCTCACAGCGACTTGACTGCTAGTCGACCCGAGAACCGTATAGAATCTGATGAAGCCAAAAAGTCAGCCACTTGTGAACCTGTGATGAAGCCACTGAGTAATTTAGAGCGGTTCCTGCAGGCGATCACGCCGTCTGTGTTTGCTCAGTATCCATCTAAGGTTACAATTCTTACTGGTACTCAGTTTGATCTTCTAGGTTGGCTGGGTTGTATTTGTTTGTCTTGTTCTTTCATTGGTTGGTCACTAGAAAGTTAATGATATAAGTAAGTGATAAAATTGCCTTTCATTGATTTATCATGCTCCAATTAAGCATTTGTTTGAAACATACGAATCAATGTGAAATAATTAAAAAAAAAAGGCTTTATGTAGTTTTGGATGAACTGAAGGAATGGGGAATAAACTCCAGAGAAATATTTTAGGAGGAATCAAAGTTTCTGGTAATTTGTCAGTTGCTACATCACTTTATTTGTTGACATCTTTTATAACTGTTATCTCGATACTGCAGACGGCTATGAAAAGTTTCAAGACATGTGACGGAGAGTTTCAACCGTATTTTGTTCTTGGTGATTTGTGGGAATCTTTCAGGGAGTGGAGTGCGTATGGTGCAGGAGTGCCCCTTGTACTCAATGATAAAGATAGTGTTGTTCAGTATTATGTTCCCTATCTTTCTGGAATTCAAATTTATGTGGATTCTGTGAAGTCATCTGCAAAGTCAAGGTAATCTGGTAACTGAAAACCTTGTTGAAATCATATGAATACTTATTTATCCTTTGCATATAAAGTTAGACTGCATCATTGAATGCTTGGTTGTCATTTGTTTGTCATTCTTCTAAATTTTCCCTTTCATCCAAAGTGCTGATACATGATGTTCCCTTCTATATTATGATGGCAGTGCCAATGGCATGATCGTCAGGCATATTGTATATCTTAAGAAACATTTTCTATTTTTCCTTTAGTTGCCTTCTGTTTTATTGCATTCCCTTCCTACGCTTTATGCATATTTATGTTGTTTTCATTTTATTATTTCTTCCTCATAGCTGTATCACCAGCTTGTTTATACTTATTCTCTTTAAAATGGAAATTGAATTCTTTATTGTGGTATTCTATGTGAGTAGAGTGTGTGAAGCATTGTGAATGGACATGAACCAGCAAAACTCTGTAATTATGTTGCCAATTTTGATAGCAAATTGATCATTGATTATGTTTATAGAATAATCTAATACACCTTTTAATATAAATTGTTGCTGTATCAAATGCTTTTGATCATAGCATAGAAATCAACAAAATTGGCCAATGTTTAAAGCTCCTTTTCTGACTCTCTTTGTCTCTGTCTCTCTCTTCCCCCTCTACGTTCTTATTAGTAATGTGGTTCACTGGTTCCTACTATTCGATACTATGGGATTGTCACCACAGCTAAAAGTTCTTCATTTTTATTGTATAGAACAATAATGTGAATGTTTCACTTTTTAACAGGCGACTGGGGGAGGATAGTGACACTGATTTCAGGGACTCAAGTAGTGACGGTAGCAGTGATGGTGAACCTGAAAGAGGATTGAAATACTTGAGGGACCAGAGAAATCTTCAACATCCTTCAGATGAGGTATCTCATCAGATGGACAGATTATCCTTGAGAGACCACCAAAATAACCCTCAGGATGGCTTTTCTAGTGATGATGGTGAGGCTGTCAATTCTCAAGGCCACTTAATTTTTGAGTATCTTGAACGGAACCCTCCTTATAGCCGTGAACCTTTGGCCGACAAGATATCAGATCTTGCTTTTCGTTTCCCTGAGCTTTCGAGGCTTAGAAGTTGTGATATACTATCTTCTAGTTGGATTTCTGTAGCATGGTACTATTTCTTTACCATTGTGCTTCGTTGAGAAGCTTACAGATGTACAAGCAACTCAATTTCCTATTCTACTTGTAGGTATCCTATTTACAGAATACCGACTGGACCAACATTGAAGGATCTTGATGCTTGCTTTTTGACGTTTCATTCTCTTCATACACCTGTGGAAGGTAGGATGTAATTCTCACTTCATTTCTCGTGCACTGAATTTGTGCTCTGTAATGAAATCTGAGAAGTATAATGTTGCGTTTAATTAGATTGTTGAATTATCCTTAGCATGATGAAATTTCATATATTAATTTACAGATGCATCAAATGCAATGTTTAAATAATACCCGTAAAATAATGCAACATCTTATGAATAAACCTAGAATGATATCACCCTTTGGTTGAGATAATTCTTAGGAATTTGACTTGATATTAGCGTATGGTGTCTATCTTATCCTCTCTACAGATGTTTGCATACCTTTATTCTATCTTTAATATTTGAACTTCACGTCCTCTGTTGAAACCTTGGAGAACCTGACATTTGCTGTTTTCACTCAACTGTTCAATTTTTCAAGGTATCATTGCATACACCTGTAGATCATCTTCTCTTTACGATTATGGCGATTCTTTAAATTAGATTTTTCGTGGAAAAGACATTATATTATTGTCAGTTGTTCTAAAATTGGACTTCTTTCAAGATATTCCATTATTTGAGATATGCCGCTGTCCTAAACTTCCGTATAGATGTGCTTTGTCTGTGTCAATGTTCCTCTCTTTGATCTCGTGCACTTCTGAGTTCATCATAATCATTTACGGAGGTGAATTATTGTGTGATTGCTGTAGATTGTTGGAGGTTAATGAATGAACAGCTTTATTAGTATCTATGACAAACAAATTGTTCCTTTTTCCCCCATTCAGTTGCATTTATGAGGTTGAACAAACATTTTTCAGGTTCACAAAGTGTGCAGGCCCCCATAATGACATGTCCCAGTGGGATGGATGGCATCCCCAAAATGTCTTTACCTGTGTTTGGTCTTGCTTCATACAAGTTCAAAGCATCTATGTGGACTCCAAACGGTGGATATGATTGCCAATTAGCTAGTGCTCTCTTGCAGGCTGCTCATGATCAGTTAAGAGCGCTTCAGGTCAATCACCCCGATTTTCTGTTTTTCTGCCGGTGATGCTGTGAACTTGGATCTTACTTTTGTTGTCAAGTGGCAGTCCTAGCTTGCCCCATTTTCAAATGCTAGATTCAAATGAAATTTGGAGTTTCTCACTAAAATGACAGGAAGAAAAAAGCGTAAAAAGAAAATGCTAGACTCTGTCGTTTATGATTTCCTGCTTTGGTAATAAAAGCAGTGAAGCAGTGAAGCTTTAGACAAGCATCTGTATTAAGGTTCCTCTGGGGTGTGTTAATGGTTGTGCATGTGCAGAGTTTGAGAAGCTTTACAAGTGCTGGATTATATATATATATATATATATATATATATATATATATATAGTCCTCCATATCCATTGTTTCTTGGTCTTTTGGAACTATCTTTATGAAGTTAAGAGAAGGGGATGTTCTTTCCCCTTATTTCCTGATCAACTCTTTTTAGGGTCTAGCTTTAATTTGTGGGGGAATTTTGACAGAAAAAGCTTGTTAGATCTGGCTGAATTGCCCCAAATATGTTGAATTACCTGTAGAACTTGTTTTTGAGTAGTTTTGATACTAATAACATTGTTGTTAGTAGGATAAAATTGTTGTTTGGGATCCCTTTAAAGTATCTTAAAAAAGTGTTTTTACGTAAGTCAAAAAAAAAATATCTTATATTTTAAATTTCATAAAATCACTTCTAAAAAACTAATCCAAACCCTTTCGTGCAACTTTCGTACTTTTGAAATTTTGAATCTACTCTTATCAATAACATCTTGAAAGCTAAAGTTACATCAACAGAAAGCATACTAGATTACTTTCTGTTTAATATTTTAATTTTTTGAATAAATTAATCTACGATAATAAGAGGGGAAATATCAAAACCTTGAACATGTTTATCTGCTGTTTCTCCATTTCTTTATGGTAGTAGTTTTTATTGCTAAATCCTAATAAGTTTTTTAAAAGAATTTATTTTATATGCCCCCTTTATTAACAATATTTTGTATAATTATACGTTTTGCATTTTTGCTTGCAACCAAGACACTAAAACTAGAGCTGCAAGGCCCTAAAGGGCTAGGTCTTGAAGGGCTAAGGCGCGGACCTTTTCTTTACAATTATCATATTGTTAAAATTCGATTCTCAGATGTGTAGGTTTAGGGTCTAAAAAAGCCGGCATTTTTATGTTATTTTTTAAAATCTAAACTCTTTTCAATTATTTCGAAATAAAAAATAAAACAATAAAAATTCTGAAATTTTTTGCTCAAATTATAATATCAGTAAAATAAACTAATGATGTACAGAGACAAACATCAAATACTAATGAATTATTATCCAAACTTAAAAAAAAGCAAATAAAATAGGGAAAGCAAAAATATAAAAACTGAGCAACTAAAGATTTAATCAATATGATTATTATCTTCATCTTCATCACAATCATCAAGATCAACAATATTTGATTGTTCTTCACTAGAGGTGGGCTTTTCTTTAGTGAACAAAATATCAGATTTTTTTTTTCATCACATTATCTAAAGTAAAATTATGTAGTAGTTATGAATACAAATGAGAGCCTAAACTTTTGTTAAAATAAGAGAATTTCTATACTTTGTTAAGATATGTGAACTGATGGTAAAGGAAAATTCACTATCTACTGTAATGATTAAAATGTTAAGAATATCAACTGCAATCTTTGAAAGAATTGGAAATTGATTTTAATTATCCTTTTACCAGTTCAAGACATCTAATTGTTTCCAATTATATAGATTAAGTATTGGGTTTTCTAAATAATTTTCTAATTCAAACTTATCCATAAAAAACCAATCCATAATTGTATAAATATCTTAATGATAATATATATATATATATGGGCTTAAAAGGACTAGCTCTCGACCCTCACGAGCTAGCCTTTTTATTTCTGTGTCTTAAAGGACTTAAGGACTAGCCCTTTTAAGTCAAATTTTTTCTTGAACCTCCTAAAATATAAGCCCGACTCTTTACTTAAAAGGGCTTAAACAGATAAGCTCAGTCTATTCTGACAACTTTAACTAAAATGATCGAAGAACAATACAATGTCAATGAAATGGTCTTACCACCAATTGCTTTAGTTAGTATTAATTGATGAGCAATTATGTCATCTCAAAGGGATATTTTAGTAAAAAAAATTTTATTTTTCTTAAATTAAACGTGATATTAATGTAAAGGTATAAGGCTTTTTCTCAAACAATCTCTAATTATATAGTAGGCCTCTCAATAAGATTCAAATCAAGATGAAATTCTGACCATCTTTCAAAAAAAAAAAAAAGGATTAATAGGATTCTTAAAAAATTCTTCCATTTCTTCCCAAAGCAAATGCAATTAAGCGCTTCTAATTCCAATGGCATCCTGACATAGGACGTTAACATACTATTTCAGTCTTTTTTTAGTTACTCTTTTTGCACAAATGATGTTTTACTCATTTCTTTTTGCCCAATTCCTTTAATGTCGACTTTAGTTGTATAATTCTCTTTTTACACAAATAATCCTTTTATTTAAAAAAAAAAAGTGCTCCTTTCTGTCAAAAATCAAAATAAACATAAGCTGCAAACTATCACTGTAAGATAGACTGTTGAAGAAACTTGACACTTGAACGAACATTTTAAGATACTACATCATAGTTGTCACAAAGTGCTCCTTTCTCTCAGAATAAGATATGAGCAGCAAATACGAGATAGGAGGCTCATCTACAACTGATTTACCTGACATTTTAACGAACATTTGAAGTGTATGAGATACTACACCGTACTTATAACACCTCAGAACATCTAGTATCGACGCAAAAAAGACAGACAAAACACAATACGACCGGCCAGACTTCAATCAAAACAGAACCCAGAAACTGTGTAGGATCATACCCTGAACAATCTAATTAATAGCTCTTTTCAAGATGTACTGTGGAGTGTTGAAAGAGAATAAGCTAGGGAACGAAGAAAAAGGAAGGTTTCATCGACAAGTGGGGAATGGAGAGGAACAAGCATCAGCAACTTTTCTGGCATTAGGAGAGTTGACGAGCTTCTGGAGGTTAGGGTCCTTCATGTACCCACAAAGACATGGCCTCTGTTCTCTGAGTTTGGTGCAGCACAGAGACGTGGGAGGGGTTGAGGAAGTGATGGCACTCGCACATGCACTGAGCTGAAGGGCATTGCAGGTCACTGCCATTGAAACCTGTGTTTCTGCAGAAAGCAGGACAAGCATCACCCAGAGTGTCACATATGGGATCTTCATTATTTTCTGAGAATAATAAGAAAAGTGAGTCTCAGAGTTGAATGAATGTGAGACTCAGATGGATCTGTGGTGAATGGAAATGTGTTGGTTGCTGAAAGGTGTGGTGGGTTTCTTCACTATTTATAGACACAGTGGGAGGACAATGGGGTTTGCAGCAAAATGGAAATTACTTTGTGAATGTTGCTGTAGACAGGCATGCTTGTGAATAACTCATTCCTTTGTCATTAGGTAGTCTACCAACAAGAGATCTCTAGATAGACAAAAAGATGAACAAATAGAAATCCCTAGCTTATTCATGTCAAGGTTTCTAGTGTCTGCCTTGATATTATAACTGTGAGGAGAATGACATTTTAAGGGGGTGTTTGGCAACCTCCAAACCATGATTTCAGAAGTACTTTTTTGTAAAACGAGACAAATTCCTTCACATATTTATTTCGTAAACCGTAAAAGCACTTCTGAAATCATAGTTTGGTTTCTATTCAAACACTTCCTAAATCCCAAAAGATCAAATTAATAGCACTTAGATTACCGAAAAAAATTATTCAGAAAAATAAGTTGTAAATATCGATTCAGAGTGTTGCAAGTAAGAATATGCGTAATTTAAATTTCCGAATTTGTAATTCCTTTTTTTTTTTTGAAAATTTTATCATTAGTCCTCTTCCCAAGACTACATTAACCCAATAGGCTGAAAAAGAGGGAGGCATGGATGGCTCAAAACATGGTTTTGCGGAGCACTTTGTTGCCTTAATTGGCTATTTGGTCTGCTTTTATTAGAGTGGGGACGCATTGCTTTGCCTCCATCATTTCACTAATATACCAATTTATTAATCAAAACCAATATTATTTCCTATATGTTGGAAAATGATTAACCTCAACTAGAGTCCACCAATGAAACAGAGATCATCAGAAACACATAAATATTTTTATATATAAATTGTCAAAGTCTTAAAATCTATTTGTCAATAAATTTAGAATTATCATCATCACTAATGTGGTCCTTGAATGGAATGAACTAAGATAATTTTTTTTTGGCCAATAAGATAAAATTTGGAAGGTAATACTAGAATTATTAACTCTCAAGTCACAATCTTGAATCTTGAAAGTGGGAAAAAAAAGGCTAATCAAAGTTGCTGTAGAATGTCACGCTTAATTAGCGACTTTCGGCGATGCGAAATGTGAAAAAGACTTGTTTTACCTTTGGTCAAAATTCATGAGCCCTCCCAATCATTATGTTTACTGTTTTGCCCTAACTCATTAAAATGATATTCACAAGCTTAGGGAGAATTAAGTCTCAAAACAGTGAATTGATCAGGTCAAAAAAGAGTGAATTAATGATAGTTTGATTTTATTTTTATTTTTTTAAAAAGTTGTAAATATGTATTTAGTCAAAATTAAGAGTTACTTTTAAAACTAAACTTGGAGTAAAGTTTCCTATTGAAAATTTTATCGGTGAGAGTAGCTCAAATCTAATTTCTAAACATAGTATGTATAAAATTTGCAGACTATCGGCATTATTTGTATACAAGAATTTATTAGGCCTTTCTCGCTAATAAAATTTTTAATGGAAAAACTTTCTCCAATTAAAACTTCTGAATTTGTTATTGTTTGGATTATTATTTATAACTCAGATTTCAAAAAATTGTCAGGACTTAATAATGTTAATTCAATCTTTTGGAACCTTACTCTCATCCTTCCTAAAACTCTATCCATTATATATCATTGTTTTTTGGAAATTTAAAGTGTATAAAATAATTTTTTATCTATTTATATGCTTACAGTTGTGTAATTCAGTTAATTTTTTAATTTATGTTATCTTAATTTGTAGCTCTAATTTAATGACTAAAAGTGTAAAAGAATGTAATGTATGTGTTAAGCATAATGTGTCTAAGTAAATTATAATATTTTATTTTTACATCATTTTTATGACAATTATTTTCCTCTTAATCAACGAAAACATAAGATTCTGCCATTTTGAATTTGGAAAAAAGGGTAATAGCATTAGGAAGAATCCAACTATTCACATTATTGTATCGGGACCTATGCTCTCTAGAAAAAAGTAAATCAAAGGAATCAATTTGTTATTTAAATAAAGTAACTATTTTAATAATGTAATTGGCACTTCTTATTAAATATACTGCACATTATGGCCATATCAATTTAAAGTAGATCCTCCATTTTTAAAGTGGGTCTAGACTCCAATTTGCTACAAGTTTCATCTTCGATATGATAGAGATTGATACATATAAATATAATATATACGCATAACAAATAAAAGAAGTCACTTTAAAATAAAATTATTGGATAATGGTTCTTCCCTTATCTCCAAAATGATGTGGTATCATATAAATATCATTAAACTACATGAAAAAAATAATTAATAGCACAATGTAGAGGGGACCATGAGTAACAACGTTCGATTCTATATGTAATTATGATAATGCATGGAATTTGGAAGTTTGAATTGCACTAATAGGTGATATTGAGGTAAAAAAAATTGTCCTAAGTGATAATTGTGTGTAATGATGTCATCATGAACAAAACTAATTTATCATTATTATTCAAGATTTCGAGATTTGAAATCTTAGGTAAAAGGGTTTTTTTTTTTCCGGTCAAAGGTAAGATAGTATCTTTGAATCTTTAACTTCAAGCAAAATTTTATTTCCATCTTTTAATTTTATAAATTTTCTTCTTGGTCCTATAATCCAAACACCATTAATTTCATAAAAAAGATATGATATTAAAATTTTAAATAATGACAAAATATTTACAAATATTAACATATTAAATTTAATTTCGTAAAGGGACTAGGGCTATTCACGGGATGGGATCAAGATAGGCTTATCCTAGTCTTGTCCCAGTGAACAGAGATCGGACGAGATTTTCATCCTGTGTCCCATCATCCTGTTCCCCTCATTTAAAAAAAAAAACACTATAATTTTTTATGAATTTTTCTATGTTATAATTTTTTTATTAGGCTTCTAAAGATAAAAATATTATAAGAAAATATTATGTAAAAAGCTCATATAGCATAAAAAAAGATGTAAAAATAATACTGTAAAAAAATACTATAAAAAAACACTATATAATAGCTTTATAAATTATTTTATTTAGAAAGGAAATTTTGTTAAGATAATACTGTAACTCAAGAGCTGAACATTACTATAAAAATAATAATTATTATTATTAATATTTATTAATAAATAATTTTTTTAAAAAAAATACTAGTGTACGGGACTGGACGGGATGACCCTGTCCTGCATCCTGTCCAGTCCTGGTTATTGTTTTATCCAGTTCCATAGTCATCTTGTCTCAAAAAATTTTTTGTCCCATCCCATCTCATCCCGAATTGACTGAGACAGAGACAAAACAAGTTAAACATCCCTAAAAGCGACAATGATTGTCACAAAAAAATTATTATTTGAGACTAATGGTTAGAACATTGAAAAGATTCTTTATAAAATTAAATAACCAAATTATAATTATATATATAATTCAAAAAGGTAAAAATACACTTTTATTAAAATTTCTATTCATGTTGGCATAAACTTAGCCCCAACAAGAAACTGAGTCCCAAAATTTAAAAAGCTTATTTTGGGCCTGACCGAACTAGGTTTAATCCATCGAAAATGTATCTCTGAAAACTTCAAATCACATACAATTGTTTAGCCATGTACACGAAAATTTAAAACTTCAAGGAGAGTGAATGTCAATTTTGACAGGAAAATATATAGGAATCATGTGCAATTTAGCGGAATAATATTATATATGAATGATAACCATTTCATCGTTCATACGAATAGTTTTTGAACAGAATAAAATAAGAAGAAGAAGAAGAACCTTTCTTTTTCACCAACAAGAAGAAGAAAACAAAGGATAAGTAGGTGAAAGGTGTTTGAGAAGGAGGGAACTAAAAAGCTTGAAGGGCATGCAAAAGGCATCCCTTTCCTGCATGAGAATATCTCTGTGATGTTGAATTATATTAATATCTTTGTCCCCAAGTTTAGAACAAACCCTACAATATATACATTATTTCAATCCTCCTCTCTCAGACTTGTAACTATTTATATATCAAATGAACCACTGAGAATTATCATCGATCATCATAGACAACGGAGAGCCAATCTAATACAAGTTTGGATATATATATACACACACATATCTCACCATGCGAGGCCGTCCTTCTTCTTCTTATGAATCTTCTAAACCGCGCAGGTTTTTTGGTTATGACAGATCACTGCACGCCGCCCTTGGTGGCGGAAGCTGTAAGACACTTTCTAGCTTTACACACACATATATATATATGCCTCTCTTTTTTGTTGTCTTTTTTTTAACATTTTTTAATTAATCAATTTGCATGTTTATAAACTTTGGGAAAAATTAGCGTGTGAGAAGGAAATATTGAATTTTTGTAGCGTTGGAAGCATGTTTTCATTAATTGCATCGGTCTTAATTTCTTCATGTTAATTATTTAAAACTCCAAACCTCGTGTACATGATATTTAATTCACACTATAATTACCAAATAGTCTATTATTATTATTTTACATAACGTGACATTTCACAAATACATTTGAAGGCAACCGTACACAACAAGAAATAAAAGATATTTTAGTTCCTTCGTATGAATAATACGTTCAATTGCAAAAGAATTTTGCTTACACATATGAAGAATTAGAGACACGTAATATTGGAAAGATGCAGAACAATGAAGAAGATATGCATGAATATGAATTTGCAGTGGCAGATATAATGCAATGGAAGGATAAGAAGAAGACAGGGGCAATTGTGGGAGCCTTCACTTTCATTTGGTTCCTCTTTGAGGGACTGGAATATCCCTTTGTTACCCTTCTCTGTCACCTCCTCCTCGCCGCCATGCTCATCCTCTTCCTCTGGTACAACGCCGCCGGACTCATCACTTGGTACGCATCTCTTTAATTTCATGTTAGGTCGAATGAAAGAAACTCAATACTTTTTTTACTGAAGTCACAGATTTTATTTTATAGATAAAACCCGATAATACTTAAATCTGACATAGCTGTAATATTATCTATTATCATATGGTTATTAATATAAAAAAAATAATCTTTTTGGCAAATTGTACATCTTTGATGTTCTTTTTGTTGGCAGGGGTCCTCCTGGTGTTCATGATCTTCAAATCTCAGAATCCACAGTCAGACACTTCTGTGCAGGAGTCAATTGGTTCTTGAGGAAATTCTATGAGATCTCCATTGGCAGAGATCTCTCCCTCTTCTTTGCGGTATATATACTCATAAATTAATTAAAATGCAATTCATAACTATCTTCGTTCATATATACTTTAATTTGATTGATCCTTAATTATTTTGGGACCAAAGAAATAACTGGTAATTAATTAACATCAAGTTTAATTTTGAGTGCTAATTTTTTTGTTCAGACGATCGCGGGTCTATGGATCATGTCAGCCATTGGGAATTATTTCACCACTCTGAATCTGATGTACTTCTGTAAGATCTGCTGAAACTGATAATCTATGCATCATATTTTTTTAAAAAAGAAATAAAATTCTCATTCAATCCCATTAATTAATTAATTACTGATTATTATTCTGGTATTGTTTGATTTGGGGAATGAAGTGTTTCTGTGCATGGTGAGCTTACCTGTGATGTACGAGAGATATGAGTATGAGGTGGATTATCTGGCAAGCAAAGGCAACCAAGACTTGAGAAGATTGATGAGCACACTGGACTCTACAGTTCTCAACAAGATTCCAAGAGGACCTGTCAAAGAAAAGAAGTATAAATAAATTAATATAATGACATATATAATTGTATTGAAAATTTCATTTTATTTGTTTAATTTCCCCATTACTTCACTTCGATCAAGTATGTGTGCTTCGTGTTCCTGTATTATTAGCTCTGTAAATTTCAAACAAGGCTTTGAAATTGTTGTAATTGATTGAATCTTTGCATGTGTTTGTGTGAAGTATTAAAGCAAAATGGGAGTAATCAAGGTTCGTAAATATTTCTTAATTACAAAATTTGAAAATTTTTCATTTCTTTCAATGTGTTTTTGTTTTAAGCTCTGAACTATTCTTATAACATAACTCTCTCAAAGGCTTTTTTTGCATTTACATGGATTTGAACTTAAGACTTTATGATTAATGGCCCAAAAATTTAGAGGTGGGTATTTGGTTTTCAGTTCAATTTTCGATAAGAACTGAATTAACTGAACCGGAAAAAAAAAAACAGAATTGAATTCAGATTTATTTAGTTTTTTGTTCAGTTCTAATTTGCTTAGCCCTAGTCAAAATCCCTGTTGCTAGGACTAATGGTTGTTGGTTGTTCATGTGATATTATTCATTATTAATTAATACTAAAAATTAAAAGATTTATGAAAAAGAAGGGAAGAAAAGAGGGGGCAAAACAAATTAATTGAAATAAATGTAGGAAGCAATGCAGGGAACATATGTGGGCCACTTCTTTATTTGGATCACTCCATTTAATAAGGATAAGATTTGGACCTCTTTTCCCATCCACCAAATAAATTCATTTGTAATGCATTACCATACACACAAGGGTCCATGAAAATTACCATAGACACGTGTTTGTGCGAAATATTAAGGCAAAATAGGAGCAATCAAGGTTCGTAAATATTTCTTAATTACAATATTTCAAAATTTTCATTTCTTTGGATATATTTTTGTTTCAAGCTCTGAGGTATTTTTATGGCATTGCTCTGCCAAAAACATTTTTTGTATTAACACGAAATCGGACTCAAAACCTTGTGATTGAGGGGTCAAAGTTTGGGATGAGTATTCAGTTTTCAGTAAAAATCAAATTAATCAAACAAAAAAAAAAGAAATTGTTCGGTTGCGATTCTGATTTGCTTACCGCTACTCAAAACCCCTCCTGCTAGGACTAATAGTTGTTGGTTGTTCATGTGATATTATTAATTAATACAAAAAATTAAAAGATTTGTGAAAAAGAAGGGAAGAGAAGAGGGGGAGGCAAAACAAATTAATTGAAATAAATGTAGGAATCAATGCAGGGAACATATCTGGGCCACTTATTTATTTGGATCACTCCATTGGATAAGCATAAGATTTGGACCTCTTTTCCCACCCACTATATGTACACATCTATATTCCCTAAAATCTAAGACTCTATTTGGTTGGAAGATTTTTGAGGGGAGAGGAAGAGAGGAGATAAGTGTGTTTGGTTGGGAAAAATAGAGGGGAGGATAGGGAAGAAATTTGTCTTTTAGTGCTCCCCTCTCCTCCCCATGCTCCCCTCCAAATTTGGGGTTTTTTAGAGGGGAGAGAAATATTATGTTTAACATTGACCAAACTACCCATACTAACTTTTTAATATTCCAAATTTGTTCATCTTATTAAAAATCTTTTTTTTCACATCTTTCTCTTTTTAGCCACTAATAATATTTGATAATTATAATATTATAATATATACATATCATATGTATTAATATATACATAGCATAACATGTGTTTTTTATAATTATATATCATAGCGTGTGTATATTATAATCTCAGATAACATGCATATATATTAATATATACATATCATAATGTGCATGTTATAATTATATGATATATACATATCATATATATATATATTAATACATATATTTATAAAATTAATGAGACAGAATATTAAATTTTTTATCATATTTTCTAATTTTATTTAGTTTTATCATTTTTTTATCACATGTAAATGAGGTAATTAGTTTTTTTTGAAATTGATAAATTAAGAAATAATAATTTTGACATAAATATTGTAATAAAAATATCAGTCTAAATATAGAGATAAGGGCATATTTGTCAATTTATAATTACATTCCCTCTCCTCTTTTTATGAACCAAACAAGAAATCTCCCCTCCCCTCTCCTTCCCTCCAACCAAACAAAACCATGAACTCCCTTCCTCTCCCATCTCCTTCCTTTAATTAACCTCCTCTCCCCTCCCTTCCTTTAATTAACCTCCCCTCCCCTCCCTTCTGTTGAACCAAACAAAGCCTAAATCAATAACAGGAGTTGGGTCTAGTAGAAGGAACTAACCTCTCATAACGTGGAGAATCAAGGTTCAAATTCCCATTGAAAAAGATACTCATATTAAGTGCCTTAAAGTGCCTTGAATAAGATTACCTGTAATAGGAGAATACCTGTACTTTAGCTAAAATCTAGATAAATATATACATATATAACCTAAACCTCTAATAACCAAGAAAAAATATGGCTCTAATACTTCACATAAATTCATTTGTAATGCATTGCCACATGCATAGGGGTCCATGAAAATTATCATAGAAGAAAGGTATCCATGGTAGCCAGAAAATTTTGCTCGGCCCATGATAACATTCAGTCAAGTTAGATCCAGTAAATAATGTTTAACTATTACTGCACATAAATAAGGGTCTTATGTTTTTTAATTAATAATAATAACGATAATTCCATCAATGTTATAAAACTACAAGAAATAAGGAGAATGAAGAATAAAAAAGAAAGCAAGGGATAGAGAAGACAATGGCCTTCAAGATTTAATTTAAAAATAAACATAAAAAAACAGTACTTTTACATGTCTAGCAAATAATTTGGCCCGAAGAGGACAAGAGGCCAGAAAATACATTGTACGTAGCAGATCTTTTACTTTAAGATGTGTTTCTGATGGAAGAGGAAGAAAAAGCAAGGACTTTGTTGCTTAGATGGGGAGGGAATGGAAATATCTGAAGAAATTAACAGAGCATGAAAGTGCTGTTAGCTACGGCGGCGATGAAGTCGGAGCAGTAATTCTTGTGTTGTGGGCTGCTTTATTTACACTCTCACTTCTCTCTGCTGTCATCTTCTTCTGTTCAGATGGCGCCTCCAATGACGACCGCGCTGCCAAAGCCGCCGCGTCCAAGCGCGATCACAGGTCGTCCGCCGCTGCTTGCGGCGCTGCCTGTGGTGGTTGATCTGCTTCATCACCCACATCACAGGTGTGTTCCTTGTAAAATTGATGACACCGTACAACCATATTTTGACTCTCCTGTGATAACAAATACACTATCAACCAGCTCTGTCAAAAAAAAAAAAATTCAGCCCTTAATAATATAAGCACTTCATACTTCTCTCCTCTGCATCAAGGCTAATTACACATAACTGAAAAGTTAGTTAATTATATTTCGCTACCTTCAATCGTTCGTACAAGACTCAATTGATTAATTTAAAAAGATTAAAAAATTTTAAATAAATTATCTTAAAGTATTATATTTATTATTTTTTTCTAAACTAATTTGTCCAACTCATAATCTGATATATAATTTAATAATACATATAAGTATTTTGAAAAGATCATATTACATAAGCTATAACTAAGTAATTTTGTAACCTTCTTTTTTTAAAAAAATTAATTAATTAGATATTATATTAAAAACCGAAGATAGCAATTATCAAGTAAATCAAGATTTCTTAGTTCACCTTCGCGGTTCTTCGTGGCATAACAAAAGTCAGGCACTTGGTGCGAGTGGAATATCTCAGTTCAGCATCATCCAGATCAAAGGTTAGTGGCATAGCACATTTATTCTCTTTTTATTTTCGACCGAAAAGAAGTCTCTTCTTATATGTTTTTTTTTTTTTAATTTCTTTTTTATTTCCGATATTAACAAGTACCCGACACAGTAATGAACTTCAATATCTAACCAAACGATGATAGGGCAGCGATCTAGACAACATATTATAATTCGAGAAGAGACTTTAATATTACGCAACTAACTGGGGGGAAAAAGGGTATAACTTTATTATTGATTTTTTTTTAATAATAGTATTAAGCCACATCACATGTATTCCTCCAATATAATTTTTCTTGGGGGGAAAAAAAAAAACTGATATGAGACAGCTACGCATAGCATGTTTCATGGGGTAAATGAATAAACCACTTATGGCAAAGAAGCGCTCCACGACAACAAGCTGGAATAGCTCAGTTGGTTAGAGCGTGTGGCTGTTAACCACAAGGTCGGAGGTTCAAGCCCTCCTTCTAGCGATTTTCATTTATTTTTCCACTCATAACACGAAATGCCAACACTACGAACAGCTTTTTGGGCTCTTGCTTTCTGGGCCTTTTCTTTCACAATAAGCTTTAACGAATTCGTGAAGCTAGTTGGACAGCCTTGATATGGGCCAATGATTAATTGCTACTTGGACCAATGATTCATTCAGTTTTGCGGTCATGCGGGGATTGAATCCCAAACAATATCTTTTTTGGGCTAGGCGCTCTCTTGTACCAAAAAACAAAAAGTAAAGTTTTGGGTTGGCAAAAAATAGATCGTCAGATCCATTACAAGTTCTAGATAGATCTTGATTGTCGTTCACCATGCTGGATGGCATTGGTTTACGAAATTGTACAAACACAATGAAAACACCCGATTATTTCCCCTCACTTTAAACGTCTTGGCATTCACACGGATTCACCTTCCTTACATACAGGTCCAAGCACCCCAAAAGCTTTCCTTCCTTCATTCGGACAAAGGGAGTCCTGTTGGTAACCTTAATTTCCTGTGTAGAGAGAGGAAAATGGATAAGCTTATTTTTCGGTTAGGGCTCATGATCAGATTTCTCGATCCCATTGTTTAGATCACCCTCCTCACAGTAGAGAGGTGGAAAGGGATATTGTTGACTTGATTTGCAGTTCTCCCCTGCTTGTACCTTTTGCCATGAAATTATATATTTTTCAATCAACATGAATTTAATCGTGTTCTATCGCGAGGAGATAAACGTATATATTGTTCATATTATAAATTAGCTTGCTCATTGTTAAAATCGCATTATTTTTTCAAGACTAAAGTAAAGATGCAGATGCAGTTGTATTCCTGATCTTATTTGTCACGTCCACAATCTTTTTACTTTCGCACATCTGAGAAATTAAACCAAGGAGGAGAAAATCATAGATAAAATTATATTTTACCTTCTTTTTTTTGGGGAATTACAGTTCACCTCTTTAATGTTGTTTACTAGCTTAACACGTCATTCACACAGACTACGAATAAATTGAGTCTTCCCGTTCATAGCAAAACCTTCGGCAATATTAACAATTTAACATTGGATCTTTCCGTTTTAAAGCAGATTGAGTATGATCCAGTCGGGAAAATTTTTTGCAGGAGCAAGTATTATGCTTCGCCCAAGAAATATGGTTCATATTTATAAAGGACCAGACGATTCGCAGTGACAGGAGAAGGAGCCGCCAGCGAACAAACATTCAGATCTAACAAATCGGAGAAAGCAACAGATCCCTAACTCATAAACAAGAATAGAAGATTCCGAAATAGAGGTTCATGGCAGAAAAAGTGAGATCAAACGACTCAAAACTAAGTAATTAAGATGCAATAGGCTTCTGTAACATACACACCTGACGAAGAAGAAGAAGAGGGAAGGGGAAAGGGAAAGGCAGGGGCATGGGAGGCATAGGAAAGAGAAGTTGCGAAGGAGAGAGATTCTCTGATGATCTCTTTCCCAGCCACCCACGCCTGTGACTTTCCCCGTTCCAACATCGGCCGCGTCATCTCCACGTTTCACTCCCCATATTCCCCTCTTTATATTCCCACCTAACCCTAATTCACGCTTCTCGTTGGCTTCACCCACTAGTGGGGATTCCCTTTATCAAACAAAGCAAAAGTAAACCCACTAACATCGCCCCAAGATCCACGATGCTGCGGGTGGTGTTCACCAGGAATACTTATTACTTTACACGTAACCACGACAAATCTTTCAAATTTTAATAATATTTTGATCTTTTAATTTATTTTTGATTAAAACATTCGTCCTAATAAGATTATAATTTATGAAACGTTTTCATCCCGTAGTGTGTGAGTTGTTGTTGTGTCTCTATTTTTTTAATTTTTTATAAATTTAATATTATTAAAACCTATTAAACTGTTATTAGAGTTAAGATTTATGGGATCCTAAAACAAAAATATTAAGTAAAATTATGAAAAAGTATGGTTCTCTATAAAAAAGATTTCTCTTGAGCCAATAATGGTTTGTTTCATGAGAGAATTACAAAGAGATTCTAGGAAAGAAAAATTATAAAATAAGTATTAAAAATTATCATGTCCTGTAAATTTGTCATTATATACTGTTTAAATTGTTATTCATGCCTTTTAATAATTACTTTTTAAAAAAAGAATCTTACGTAATCCTCCTTCGTTTCAATCTACTTTTGCAAAATTAATTTTTAATTTTTTTTTCTCTTCATTAACTGTTACCAACTGAAGTCAGCTAATTTTCCTTACAGATGGGATGTATTGATTCGAAGTTCCCCCGTGCTTGTACTTTTTCGTCATGAATGACGTATGTCTCTATTTTTCATTTAAACAATCAATATGGTTCAAACCCGTTTGGTTACCGTAAGAAATAATATTTGTGATTCTTAATATAAAATTTTATTTAGATTTTATTTTAATTATAAATATAAAATCTTAATTTATTTTGTTTTTCATATTTATTTTTTTTAATATAGTCCTTCTAATAATTATAATTCTAACTAATAAACCTGATCAATAAAAATATTTTAAAAAAGATAATATTTATTTACCATAAATAACTAATTTAATTTATTTTTTAATCTATTTAAATTAGTTAATTAGTTTTTATATTTATAATCAAAAATAATAATACGTATGCTATAAATTTCAATAAATGAGATTCAAATTAAAAATTTTCCATGTTAACTTTTCAATTAAAAAATTTTACGAAATTCGCTGTTACTTATTTTCCACCGACTCAAAATTCGTGAATCCAACAGGTTTGGTTTGAGCAGGTGGGATTTTTCATGCATTTAGCATAACCTTCCGCAATAGTCCTTCCGGTCCATAATAGCCTTATAAGTTCAGTTTTCTTACCAATAAAGAAATGTTATTAATGAAATACAGGATAAGAAATAATGATTGATTAATTAAGTTTTCTTACAAATGAAATAACATTTGAGTTTATCATTTATTTGAATTTATTACTACTTTAACATTTTTTATTATTAAAATTAATATTATTACTTCTATTTTATTTTAATCATTTTTATAAATAGTTTTAGGTTTTATTCTCCAAATCAAATTAGAATCAGATTATTGATTTTCCCCTCCTCTTTTCTTCCCCTAGTCTATTTTTACTTTCTCTCAGTTTTTAATTTGATATATGTTTTTTTCTCAATTAAATCATTTAGCTCTTATAATTTTTTTCTATTAACATTTTTAGTCTTTATATCAAAAAAAATTTAATTAAAAAAATGCACAGGTACTTAATTAAAAATTAAAGAAAGTAAACGTACCTTAATGGTTTTCAATTGAGTAGTTAAATTGGTCTAAAATTAATAAAACTTAATTTACTATTATTAATAATGTGAATGAAAAGTGCTTTACATTTCTCTCACATCTAAAACTCTCATTAAAAAATAATCTTTAATTACCCTCTGAGTCTTTTAATTTCTTATAATTTAGAGTAAAATTTTCTTCTAATCAACTTCTTGTAACTTCTTATATATTATGCGCGGGAAGTATTAACCATTTTAACATTAGGCTTGTCAGCAAATCGAGTATCACCCACTTGAGAAGAATTATGCAGGAGCAAATATTAGGTTACCCTTGTATTTATGTAATTTAAGAAAAATTAATCCAAGTTCACTGGTTGATTTGGTTATAAAAGGCGGTGAAAAAAGATTAGATTACAAAGGACCAGATGCTTCATCATAACTTTTTTTAAAAAAAAAAAACCGCTTTGCTTTCCACAAAACAAAACCTGTATGTAAAAATGAATTCTCCAGGGCCGAGGCAAAAGGGATTAAAAGGTGATGAGAACAAACGCTGAGATCTAAAAAGAACCTCATAAAGCGTTCGGTGTAGGGGAAAATAAAAGATCCCTAACTCACTAACAAAATATAGAGGCAGAAAAAGAGAGATCAAATCAAACAACTGAAAACTAAGAAAGATGCAGTGGTATTCCTGTAACGTGTGTGTGTGTGTATACCTGAAGAAGAGGAAGAACGATATGGAGAGGAGAGAAAAGGGAAAATCAAGGGCATGGGAGGCATAGGAAAAAGAAGTTGTGAAGAAGAGATGTTCTCGGGCTCATCTCTTTCCCAGCCGCCCATGACCGTGGCTTTTCCCCTCAACATCAGCCGTGTCCTCCTTATCATTCCCTTCCCGTGTCCTCCTTTTATATTGATATATTCCACCTAACCCTAATGCACACTTACTGGGCTGACCCACTACTGGCCCACTAAATTCTCACCCCCCGTCTTTGTAAATTTTAAAATAAGAAACAACTTGCTTTTTTACATGTCAAATATCAGAAACAAATATTTTTCATCTAAAATTGTAAACTAAGACTACTTATTATTTTTTTAATATATTTTGCTCAATATTTTTTATGTATTCGACTTGTAAATAAGAGTATAATTATAAAAAGGTACATATGTTTTATATATTTATTATTTTTTAATTAAATTTAATTGACATTTTTAAATTCGTGATTTTAATAGTTGTGTTTCTAACAAGGAGGACGGAGCATGAGTTTGCATAGAAAGTTCTGGATCCTTGATCCGTTGGGATTTGACAAATAGAAGCTCCTGTTGCTATATACTACCTCTGATCCTTATTATAAGACCCCATTTGACTTTTTGTTTGGTCCTAATTATAAAACCCCAATCCATTTTGTCTCTCACATTTATGCATTTTTTTCCAAGATAATCCTTCTAATAATAATAATTCTAGCCAATATACTTACTCCCTCCGTTCCTTATTATAAGAGACAAATAACCGAAGTACGTTGATCAAAAAAACAGTTAAAATTAGTTAAGAACAATTAATGTGTAAAAAATATAATTTTTTTTTCCAAAAATGCCCTCATTAATAAGGAGAGAGCATGAGAGAAAACAATTAAATTATTAAAAGAAAGAGAAGTGAGAGGGAGAGAGAGTGTGAGTTGGAGATAATAAATATGGGTAAAATAGTAAATTAACACAAAAAAGTAGAAACAACTTATAAGTGTCTCTTATATATAGGAACATGCCATAAGCATCAAATGTCTCTTATAATAAGGAACGGAGGGAGTAATTAGCAAGGATATTTTAGGAATGACAACATTTATTTATTACAAATAACTAACTTAACTTACTTTCTTAATCTCCTCAAATAAGTCAATTGGGTCTTATAATTATGACCGGAGGTAGTACAAAATAGAAAATACAGATTTGAAGTTATTCACTTCTCTTTGTAAAATACGGTTCGACGATACTTAAAATTTTAATCACTTTTTCTATTTTTACTCTTACTAATTATATGTTATATCATTGCCTCTCTCCATCCTTACTATAATAAGTTGGAAATTTTTGAATTCATCTGTGCGTTTTTATAAAATCCATTTTGAATTTGTCTGATCATTAAATATATTGTTACTTATTTTATTTTTAATTAATATACTCTCTCATATCTTTTTTCATACATTTTTCCCACTCTTACCCCACCCACCCATAAACGAGGCTATATTTGAGAAAAAAGTTCATTTCCTACATATTTATTACATTTCACTAATTTTAATAGTTTTCTTTTAAAGCATACAATTCAGTGATTTGGATTTTAACATTTTACAAGATAAAACTCTATCTAGGATAAAGGTACATCCAGTACAGAATCTTATTTTTCATGTGCGTCAATCACAATAATCTTATTTATGTTGCATTCACAATTTTTATCTTATATTTGGGTACTTCTAACATCCAAATTTTTAAAGTGGCGGATGTACCCAAAAGAATTATGATATTAAGATGTTAAATGTACCAGAAAAATAAGATTATCACAATAAATGTATCTGAGAAATGAAATGAGAATGATGAATGTATCTAAAAAAAAATGAATGAGAATGTTAGATACCACTCTCTCCTAATTAAAATATAAGTATCAAACATGCGACTCAAAACATTGTTTAAAATGAGTTAGACACAACCAATATGTAAAAAAAAAAAAATACAACTTCATTTTTTGAAACACTCTTACTTATAGAGTGGGTATGTGGGAGAAAATGAGTAATAAAAAAGATGAGAAATAATTTTTAAAAAAAAGGAGATGAGAAAGAGATTAAAATTATAGTAAATAATTAAAAAAATCTAAATTATATTTTATAAAATAAAAAATTAATTTAAAGATCCTTATAATTTTTGAATTAGGTTTCTAAACAAAGCTAAGGATTTTATGGCAAAATGATATTAGGAAGGGAAGGTTTCTATGTGGTGGCTGGAAGGGGGTCGGTAGAATGATGGAGAAGGAAAGAGCAGAGCTTCCTCAAACGTGTTTGACTAATTTTTAACGGTGTTGATCATATCTAATGGTCAGGACTAAGGAGCATAACTATAAAATTGAACAAAACGAGGAGCACCTTCAAATTCAAATCTGAGAGCGTTTGGCTTTTTTAAAAAGTGCTTTAAGCACTTTTTTACTAATCAGAATAAATTTTTTATATATTATAAAAATATTTTTAAAATTATAATTTTGATTTCATCTAAACATTTCTTCCTCTCAAAAAATTTGTCTTGCAAAATAAGAAATCACTTAAAATAAAGATAAGAACGACCACAAGCAGCAGTGAGAGCACATCGCGACGATTGTGCTATTCTTGCACAGTAAACCAACACTGACAACTGAGTGACAACCGCACCTCTCAGAGAATCTGGATCCTCCCCTCTTTCTCTTTTTCTTCTCATTTCAGAATCTTATCTTTATTTGTACGGTTGTATCAAATCATAAATAGTTTAAATTTTATATATTATAAAATTATTATTATATTATATAAATTAGAAAAAAACAAAATTATTTTTTAAAAATATTAAATTTGAATTATTTATTATTTAATCCAATAGTAAAAATAAGACTATGATGAAAAATTTTTTTGAGAGGATCCAGATCCACCTCTCAAATTTGACTACTCATGGCCACAATAATACCCATGAGTGGTTGGCAAAAAAAAAAAAAAACCCATGAGTGACATGAAATTTGAACTTTTAAAATTAGTTTTAATGATTTAAACTTAAAATTTCTAACTAATAATTTTTAAATAAAAAATTAATTTTAAAAAAAACTTTTAGTTAACCGGTTATATTTATTTTAAATTATGTATTTATTAAAAAAATACTTTTTTTAAAAAAATAAAAATATTAGATTTAAATAGTTGATATTTGATAAAGATTATGATTCTCATTCAAACCCCAAAAAATATATTATAAAAATATTTAAGTTAAATTTTATATTTATTATTTCAATTTTTCTACTTTTGACCACTATTTTTTATTTTATAATAAAATATTAATATTTTAAAAATGCTGTTGATATAATGAATACTACCACCGATTCTAAATATAAAATTTTGTTTGTGAATTATAAATAGTATAACTAAATTGACTGATGTAATCATTATCTAGATTCTCTTAAAATTGTTATAAGAAAATAGTACTAACAAAGAATGATCAAAATATTGTAGTTAGATCTAATTGATGAAGGCATCAATTGTTTACAACTGATCCCATTCGCTCGGCATTCGTTCATTTGAAGATCTTGTATTTTTGTCCAAATTTTATTTTCTTTTAAAATGGAAACTGCAATACTATACAAAAGAGAGGGCGGGGAAAAAAAAAAAAAAACCACCCAAACTTGCGGTGGAGAGTGATGGAAGAGGACAAGAGGTTAAGCATGTCTTATTTCTTAGTATGCTGTAATTGTAACAGTGGACATCCAGTTTTTATACAAGAAGAAGAAAAAAAAAAATATTGGGACTTACAAGAAGTGTTTAGATAAAAACTGATTTTAAAAATACTTTTACAGCTTACATAATAAATATGTAAAAGAATGTCACGTTTTGCAAAAAATACTTTTAAAAAACACTTTTAAAAACATTTTCAAACGCCCATATAGTAAAAGATAATTGGCGAAATGAGCCTAGCTTCGGAACCGCCCGTTAAATACTTTTCTAATAGAGCGGGTGCCTGAGAGACTTCATGTTAACAAATAACAACCCTTCCACTCTTGATGTAAAATTTAACTCACTAATTTTAATAGATTATGTTAGTTATGTCAACTAATATGATAAATTTTTTCCAACATCCTCTTTAAATTCCTCTCTCTCTTACTTCATTATCATGAGAAAATATTAACTTAAGAAAAATTAATCGACATAGAAAATATGTTTACATATAAAACTAACATAGTAACATCAATATCAACTCCCTTCATAATATTCCTCCGGTCCTTACCTTAATATAACACTCAATTATTAAGTTAGTTTGATTCTAAATATAAGACTCATTTTTCTAAATTATCCCTATAGATACCCCCAACCATAATCAAGTAAAAAAAAAAATAGAATATTAAAAAAAATGATTTTAATATAAAACTCATTTTTCATATTTATCCATTTTTCTTAAATTATCCCTATAGATACCCCCAACCATAATCAAGTAGAAGAAAGAGATGAGGTATTAAAAAAGATAATTTTGATATTTTAGAAAAAACGTACCATATTTTTTATAGTTAACTAAGTTACCTATCTTTCTTAATCTAATCAAATTAGTTAAATAGATTTTATATTAAAGACCAAAAGAGTACTTAATTATAATTATAATTTAGATGATAAATTAATATTCATAATCTGCATAAACTGTCCTGAAACAAAAGAGCGAATATATGCGCGCGCACACATATAATTGGCTTGTTTGGAAGTATTTTTATGAAAAATAGAAAAATACTATAAACACTGAAGAAAATTACCAGGATGCTGATGGAAGTATTTATCTATCAACATAGCGTATTAAAAATCAATCACAAGAAGAACGGTTTCAGATTTCTGCAAAAAATGGTCCGTATCTAAACAACTTCCATATCTAACGTCTATTTTTCGAATAAAAAAGATAAAATCCTTCGGTCTTAGAATCATCTCAAACCATCCTGTTCATCTTCTGCGATACACAACACACATATTCGGAAGATCTAGTTTATATTACAATTATGCTGGTAAAAAAAAAAAAAGTTTATATTACAATTATGCTGATGCTCCTTCATATCTTTTCCATGCACGCTCTTGATCTATTTTTTTTTTCCGGTCTTCAGTGAAAAATTACAATTAAACATCATATTCCATCAGCTTCGATCTTCTCTGCTTCAAGAAATCCAAAAGGAAAGAGATAATCTTCATAATATGTTGATGGAAATACAGTGTAAATAATTTTTTGTTTTGAGGATCATTTTAGGAATTTTGTTACTCCTCCCGAAAGATTTGTCTGTCTCTAGTCCGGCTACAAAACAAAAAAAATTGAAGATTGACAGATGTACAAGAGATCGAAAGCTTCAAATTTACAGCCACAAACAATCAGATTACACAAACCTCATAAACCAATCCAAACGTTAACAGACCCGTCTGTATGCTTAAAAAAGGCAGATCAGACACATCAGACTGCAGGATGAGCCAATAATAACAGATTATAATATATGCATACCTCAAGAACAAGAACAAGATGATATTGGTGAGCTGGAATAGCTCTGGTCCATGGTTAAGTTAAAAGGCTATGTAAAGGGGAAGACCATCAAGGGTATGGGAGGCATTGGAAAAAAAGAGACAAAAATTGAGTGGTATATATGCACAAATATTTGTCTATCTCTTTCCAAACCTCCCACACCTGTGATTTAATTTATCCCAGTGAACCAGACTGAGATATGATACACCTGAAGCAGATGCAGAAGACACAGGGACGGATGATGGCGGAAGGTAGAGGAAGGAGAAAATGAGGGGCATGGGAGGCATTGGAAAGAAAATTCCAGAGAAAATATTCAAATCTTTCGTTTATTTTCTTACCAAGACTCCCACACCCATCACTTCTCCCCTCATCTCGCCGCTCTCAGATCAACTCCCAAACCCTATTATTTTCTATATATATGCGTCTCCGCAAAACCCTAACTCAGGGTCACAGATGGCTTTTCACTTCCTCTCCTCTCCTCTTTCTTAGCTTCCTCCAGGGTTGTCATCGAATTTTACTTTCTGGACCTCAATATTAAAAGGTCAATATTAAAAAAGTTAATTAATATGTAAATTTTTATAGTTTTAACTAATTTTGAATTAGGTTTTTATAATTTTTTTTCTTTTTATTAGGTTCTTATTCTTTCACATGTTTTTAATTAGGTCTTTGTATTTTTTTTATAAAATCCTTATAATTTCCCTAAATTCTTAATTAGGTCCATGTTGTTTTAATTTTTATTTATTAGTTAAATATAAACTTAATTAATTAGATTACTAAAATATAAAATATTAATAATTAAATTAAATTAATATAAGTAATATAATTAATTAATTCAGATAAATTTTTTAGAACAAATAATATTTTCTTGCTGGCAAAAAATAAAATTATTATAATAATTCATTATTTTTAGAATATTATTGTTTATAAACTAATATTAAATAATATATACTATTTTATGATTATAGAATAGTATTATTAGAATGTATAAAATAAAGAGTAAAACATTCAGAGACTTAATTAAAAATGAGGTGAACTTATAAGGATTTCATAAAAAGAAAAATAAATACAAGGACCTAATTAAAAAGATGTGAAAGTATAAGGATCCAATAAAAAAAATAAAACTATAGAGACCTGATTCAAAATCGGTTAAAACTATAGGGACTTACAGATTAATTATCTCATATTAAAATGGAACTTTTAATTTTTGATATTGATAATTTTAGAGTATCTTTTGGCAAAAACAAAAAGATATTTTAATATATGAATGCCGCTTTAACTTTATATGAGTCAGAGTGCGCATGGGGGTGAGATAAGAGGATAAGAGGAAAAGGGCAAATGGGAATCCGAGAGATGGCAAGAAAGGCCAAAAAGGGTACGAAAAAGTAGACCCACGCTCCAAGGAAAGCAAAAGTTGAGTGAATCGATAAAAGCGAGTGGAATCAACAACCGCGCACAGCGGCACAGCGCACTTTCCCGTTACTATTTTTTTTTCCCTTCCTTTTTTCTTATTTCAATTGAATTTAGGTGAGTTTAGAAAATACGAGTATTACTTTTTTTTTTAATCTTATATACAAGTAATTTTTAACCTATTTTTTGAGAATAAAAATACTTAAATTTTCCATGTATAAAAAATAATTAAATTTTAAAATTTTTTTTGAAAATTTTAATTATTTTCGAACTTTATTTTTAATATATATTTAATAAAAAATAATAACACGTGCGTAATAATATATGAATGATAAAATAATATAATAATATAAAAACTTTAATTATATAATAGACGCGTCTCCCTGGTCAAAAATAAGAAATAAAAAAAATGGACGCGCCTGAGTGCTCCCCCAATTATTTGATTCTCATTTAAAAAGGTGAAACCAGGGAGAGATATGAGAGTGGTTTGTAAATGTTTAAAAAAAAAACTTTAATAAAAATAAAATTATAAAATTTTATCAATTTAATATATTTTTTGATATACAAGGATATGTTACAAATAATTTATGGGTTAAAGTGTAGCCCTCAACTATTTTTCGAGGAGCATTCAAATTATTAAGTGATACAATTTTATGCCTGATTTATTAAAATGGGTGCAATTTCAATCGAAATTAACAGACTCAAAACCTCCGTTTTCTCCTCGTCCAATCAGTTGTTAATGCGTGACGTTCATTTCAAAAAGTCTAAAACTGAGATTGACCAAATACACATCATCCTCGTCCTCTTGAATCTGCGGACTTGATCTCTGGTCGTCCCAAAGAAAAACGCATCAGATTGTTTCTTGAATACTTAATTCCATCGCCAAAGCTTTTTTCTCATCATCCACAACCACACTCTCCAGATTGTTGCAGATCTTCGAGTTGGTCTTGCAAAGGAATCGCCTTCTCTCATTGACTTTGGTGACGCCGTTCAAGAAATTGCAAAACCACACAAATTATTTCATATGAAAAAGCGGTTTGAGCCCACACCACAATACTCCATCCGTTCCTTATTATAAAAGACAAATAACCGAAGTACGTTGATCAAAAAAACAGTTAAAATTAGTTAAGAACAATTAATGTGTAAAAAGTATAATTTTTTCTAAAAATGCCCTCATTAATAAGGAGAGAGAGCATGAGAGAGAACAATTAAATTATTAAAAGAAAGAGAAGTGGGAGGGAGAGAGAGTGTGAGTTGGAGATAATAAATATGGGTAAAATAGTAAATCAACACAAAAAAGTAGAGACAACTTGTAAGTGTCTCTTATATATAGGAACATACCATAAGCATCAAATATCTCTTATAATAAGAAACGGAGGGAGTACCATTTTACTATGAAAAGAAAAGAGTTTGTTCATGTAGTAATGTGTCTATAAAAAAAGAACCTCAATCCCAATATGAGGTCCCAGCAAAAGACCCTTTTTCCTACATAATCATTTCAACTCATACAAATTTTCTTCTTTTTTTTTTTGGTAATAACAAATTATTAAAAACACAAACTTTAATCATGTTGGTAAGCCAAATAGAAAAGAGTTTGCCCAACCAAATTGAATATCGACCCAAAGAGTGGGAATAGGGAAGAGGAACATCAAGAAATTGAGGATCCTAGTCAAAGTGTTGCTGAAGTGAAAAATATTAGGGATTTTCAAAGAGAAGATACAAATTAGTAATTACAGAACAGGAAAAGAAGAGAGAGTATACATGAGGTGGATGAAAGCACAAAAAGGAATAAAGGGAAAGGAAGGAGAAAGCAAGAGCCGCACGGGTTTGAAGGGAAGAAAAACAGACGTTTTTCAGTCCGTTAATTTAGGGTGAAATCACACTAATTTTAATGGATTAGGGATAAAATTACGACATCTAATAGTTTAAGATATCAAACGTTCCTGAAAAAATAGCCGAGGGCTGCCTACACTTTTACCTTTTTTATATTAAAAACCAAAATGATAATTCCTCTGATATTTATTACAAGTTTTAAATAATTAATTTGTGAATAACAAATAATTAGTTAAAAAGAATAACAGATTAAAAAAATGGAAAATCTCAAGAAAAAAATTAATTACTAAAAATTTCCAATAATAACATAAGCAACTTATAATAACAAGTGTCAGAATAAAAAATAATAACTTCTAATATTTGTTTTGTAATTATTTTTCTTCCTTAAAATTTTATTATAATTTCTCTTAAAAAAATCACGTCTTAACATATGCTTCTATATGAAAACATACTATTTTTTAAATTTAAAACTTATAAATAACACGCGAGGAAATGAGTGTTTAATATGCAAACTAAATCATATTTTAAAAAATATTTTTAATATAAAAAATTTGTTTTGATTAAAAATACTTTTATCCAACACTAAACACCTCTTATAAATTTTTTTAAAAAAGTTACTAAATGAGCAGATATTAAAGGGAAGGGATAAGGTTAAAAAGAAAGCAGCCAATAAAAATACAAAAATGTGGGGACCAACATGTTGAAATGTCTGCCAAGTGCGAACAATAGCTTTGTAATGAGTGAAGTCTGACAAGTGACAAGAGAAGGGACACCTCACCTACTCTCCCACGAAATTTCCCGGAACATCACCTCACCCACCGCCTCGTCCTCATGCCCCCCTCTACTATCACGCTAGTACTGATTGTGAAACCCCAAAATAATTTGAGCACATACAGGGTTTTTTTTTTTGGCCGAAAGATACAGGGGTACTTGGCAACGTAGGAGAGTGAAGCACTACTCAATCAAACTAAACAAATTTTTTTACATATTTATTTTATATATTGTATAAATATTTTTAAAATTATGATTTAGTTTTTATTTAAATACCTTCATAATTTTTAGTTTGCTCAAATTTATGTAATTTTTATTTTAATCTTTTAATTTTCAAATCACAAGTCTTAGTGTCTTAAAAGCAAAAATGATTCACGTTTTTATTAACATACTAAAAAGATCAATATTTTAAATAAAAAATTTGAAAAATTAAAACTTATAATTTAAAATTTAAATAACCAAAATTAAAATAAGAGTAATTTTGAAAGATTAAAAAAATATATTACTTCAAATAATTTTTTATGATAATATTCATATTTTATAAAAAGGTTAATATAATTTTTTAGTTTTTCAAGTCTGTCTTTGTTTTTGTTTTGATCCTTCAAATTTCAAATTACAAGTTTTAGTTCTTTAAATTTCTTTTTATTTAAAACATAGGTCTCTCTAACTCAATAAAAACTTAAATTATTCTACCATTGAGAAACCAAAACATATGATTTGAAATTTAAAGGTCTAACCCTTCATTTGGATGGAAAGAAAAGTTGAGAGGAAAGAAAATAAGAAGAGAGAAAATGGAGAGAAAAGAAAATTGAAGAGAAAATATTATCATCTCTCATATTTGGATGAACAAGAAAAAACAGAAAGAAAAGAAAATGAGTAAATATATGAATGACTAAAATAATCTTTTTGTTATATCAAAATATATCTTGATTAAAATCAAATTAAATATTTTAATGAAAAACCATATTTACATTAACATAATCATATAATTTAAAATCAAATTATTTGATAAAGATATATTATCATGTTATTACATTTTAATATCAAATAATTTTGTAAAAAAAAAAGAAAAAACATTTTGTATAATGTAATGCTAAAAAAACCATAACAATAACTGTACTTATTTTCTTTTCAGTTCATTTTAGAAAGATTTGTGTAATTTTAGTTATTTTATTTTTCAATCAAGCAAACACAAAAGAAAGATTTGATAATAATAAATAAAGTGAAAAAATAAAAAAATAAAAAAATAAAAAAGTATTATTTTGCTGAAAGAACATATGTAAGGATAGAGAGATTATTTTTCTCATTTTCTCTCCATATATGGAGAGAAAACTTGGGAGGAAAATGGGTTATGAGACTCATCTTATTTTCTTCCCACCTTTTCTTTCCTTACACTTTTCTTCCCTCATCCAAACAGTGGAAAAACCACTTCTCTCTCCATTTTCCCTCCTAGTTTTCCTTCCTTTCTCATTTTCTCTCAATCCAAACATAACATAAAACCAAAATAAAGATAAACTTATAGGATATATATTACTCCTCCAATCCTTAATATAAAACCAATTTAACTAATTTGATTAGATTAAGGAAGTTAGGTAAGCTAGTTAATTATAAAAAATGTGACATGTTTGTCCTAAAACACCATAATCATCTTTTTAATATCCTCTTCTCTGTTCTACTTGATTATGGTTGAGAGAGTATCCATATGGGTAATTTAGAAAAATTGATAAATATGATAAATGAGTCTTATGTTTAGAATCAAAACCAACTCAACAATTAAGTCCTATATGAAAGACCAGAGGGGTATATTGGCACTTTATATATTAAAGTCCTATACAAAAATTATTTTTTGTATAATTTTAACTAATTTAAGTAAAAATTTTATTAGTTACTTATAAGAATGAGAAGAAATATTTTCATGTACTCATCCCAAACTCAATAAAACTACCTCTGAAGCCACCCCGTCATGTTGTGAATCCATCTATCCATGTTATAGAAAATTTAGACTCTTTCCGTCATTTTTTCAGTATAATAATTAAAAGATCATTCGTCGCAATGAACTGTGAGCCGATTTGAAGCCCAAGCCCACAGACAGTCTAGAGTTCCAGTTCAAGCCTATTCATTCATCCCTTCGTTCTCCTTCTCTCCAGAGACCCCGTTAATGTCGTTATCATTTTCCTTTGAGTTGATATTAGTTGGGAAGAATTCAAATTCATAAATTAATTGTATTATGTGAGTCAGGAATTTGAGGATTTTCTTAACACAAAGTCAGGACGCTGAGTACGTGTTTGCCATTTGGGTGGTTACAGGCGAAACACGCTTTCATTTCCAAGAAAGCTTTCCATGTGCTGGGGAATTGGTATGGAAATCGATTTCTGTAGAATATTTGGATTAATAATTTTATTCTATTGTCCTTCGCGAAGTTTTTTCTACAGGTCACCAAGTCAACAACTGATCATTCATTTGGACATGCCGGAAGTCAGTCATCTTCGTTGTTACGAAATTACAACTTACTACATACTTTAACTAATTAATTCATAAATAACAAACAATTACTTAAAATGATAAATAAATTAAAAATATACTTTTATTTTTAAATATACTCATATAATAAATAAAAAATAAAAAAATAGATTATTATATAAAAAAAAAGAGAATTAATAATTAAAATACTAAATAAAAACTTATAAAATGACCCACAGTTTTTTCTAAATCTATCCATCTAATATAGTTACAAAATCTTGTAATACCCGTTAATGCTTAAATGAGTCCATATTTTATTTGTTATCTAAATTTATTTTAATTTTATGTGTTCTTTTGTCTTTCTCAGTTTTTATAGTAACAATTCAATCTATTCAACTCTATTCAGATCTAATATTTTTTATGACCAAATAACCCAAATTATATGTGCATATGATCCCTATCCATATATATGTGCTCATGTTTATTATCTTATTTTATTTAAAAAGTTATATTTTTAAAAATACAAGGCAAAAGAAGAATATTTTGAGATGGGGAGAAATGAAGATTTCTTGAAATAAGAGGGGCTGTGAATACAATCCATATACATATGTCCTTATTTTTTATTATTTTATTTTATAAAAAAATGTTATATTTTTAAAAATATAGAAAATTATAAATTTTTAAGAAAAACATATCATAAATATTTCAATAAGTGACAAAATACAAATAGAATAATATATCCTAATTAAATCAAATAGGTAACACACTTATAAAAATCTTTCACTTATTTCAAATCTAATAATAGGTAATTACACATCACTTTGTGCGTCGCATGGGAAAACATTAGTCCGGAAAAATATTTTACTATCGGTTGTGTATTATAGTTAATCAGTAATTAACTTACTTGTATTATAACAATATTTTATTAAATCAATTGTCAGGTGCCTTTTTTTTATATTAACACCTTGTTCATAACACAGGAGCTAATAATTTGACGTTTGATTTTCGTTCAAAATATTAAAATCATAAAAGTGGAATGCAAAACTCTCCCCTCTGTATTATTAATATTATTATCAGAGGGAGATTTTCCCGCCGTGAGCCTTATCGGAGGATAGAGCCCTGTAGAAAACCTTGCATCATGCATAGGGTAGCAAAAAGAGAACGGATGTACATGAGGTAATTGATAATAAAATAACTTTTCTTTAAAAAAAAAAAAAAAGAAAGAAAAACCATTGTTACTGTGCAGTATCGTGGTTGAGAAAACAAATGATCAAGTTTTTGAGTTTTGACTCAAGAAGCTTCCAGTAAATGCTATGGCTTAACCTCTTGCACGCTATGGGATTCGATCCATGTGAATAGCGACAAAGGAAAGAGATTATAATTAATTAGATGTGGCAATCTAAACTGAGAAAGAGGAGGAAGTGGTTTACCTGGGCACGATTGATGAACAGGAGAGAGATTTAAGAGAGGGAATGAAGTGGAAAGGGAGGGAACAAGAGGGAATGATAGGAATGGGTGGAATCGGAAAAACAGAGGCAGGAAACCCTAAGGAAGGAAGGGCTTCGACGTCGGATCTTTCAATTTCCCGATCCTCCCATTCCCACGACTCCCTCAAGTTTGCTCCCTTTCCATTCTCTCTGAACCAGTCTGGACTATGGAGGAAAGAGCTGCGACCTGGCGCACATATTATAGGGGTGGCGACGTTAAAGCCGTGTTCTAGGGTTTCAGTTTAGGGGTAGTTCCAAAAACAACCCTCCTGTTCGCGCACAAGCACAACGACAAGGGAATCCACTGACCACTGGTCTCAAAAAGAAGAGAAAATTATAAATAAAGACCTTGTAATATGTAAAATTATAATTTGAGATCATGAATTTAAAAAATAGTAAATAAGGACCGCGTCTCACTTTTACAAATATGAACATATAAGTGAAATATCTGAAACGTCCCTCAATTAAATTGTGATTTGATCTAATGAAGTTATTATTCTAAAGTGAACTTGTCATTTCTCATAGTTAACTTGTCATGTAACATATCCTCAGTCAAATTGTCATTTGATCTGCTGAAGTCATCCTTTATTAAAATAAACTTGTTATTTCCTATAGTCAATTTTTTATTTGGTTGAAAGACATTTCAGACATTTCATTGTAATTTCATATTTACAAAAATGAAATCAGGTCTTTATTTACTATTTTTCAAATTAAAAGTTTCAAATCATAATTTTACATATTAGGAAGTCTTTATGTACAATTTTCCTCAAAAGGCAAAGGAAACGCGTCTGCCCCAGTCTACTTGTCTTTTGCGATCCTTCCTCGTCGTTTCTCCCTTTAATAAAAAAATATTTGGATGGGATCAAAATTATAATATTAAAAATAATTTTATATCATAAGAAGTAAATATATAGAAAATTTATTTTGATTTGTGAAAACTTGTTACCCCTAGTTTAGGAGTCGTGTGATTATAATATTAAACACTTGGTGCAGATAAGCTATTTAAAATTTTAAAAAAATTAATAATTTTATAAAGTATGAAATTTAAACTACTTATTTTTTTATATTGAGAAATGATACTGCCGTTCCTTAAAGTGGACGGAACAAAGTAAAGCGTGAAGAAGAAATTTTAAATAATGATATTAAAAACAAAATCAGGTAATTATTTGTATACTGTGAATTGGAATACAAAATAAGTCATTTAACAACAGCACATAATTGGGCCGCTCATCATATCAGCGACCTTTGGGTTGTGGATGTTGGATATTGGGTTTCCCTCACATAATAGGTCAATGTAGCACTTTCGTAGCTGAAATGAAGCATGGGCTTATCTTCAAAGGAAGGGCTGACTTTAGCTTGGGATTTAAGCAATTGCAGCCATCCTAGCTTGATTTTAGGGTTCAAAGCCTAGGGTAGAGGCCCCTTCCACGTAAGACAACCAACATCCACAACCGCCTATATTCAATTCATTATCTAAGTTCCCCCCCCCCCCCCAAAAAAAAAAATCGTCCCTTGAATATGTGATGTCAACTAAAATATCAAATGGCGACAATTTTCGCGGATCGATTATCTTGCAAATCATGTGAATTTTAAATACGACGCATCTCATGCAAAGATATCTGAATTTTTTTTAAAAAAAGAAAAACTATAGTAGTATATTGCGAAGAAGCACTGGTCTAATCCGCTTCATGAAAGACAAAAATGATAAGGATTTATTCATATAACTACATGCAACAGAGTTTGTAACATCAAACAAGAATAACAGATTGGCTAAAGGACGATCAAAAGATAACTGACTCCAATTATAAATTGCTCACTTTGAAAGGTATCAATCAACACCATTACAATGAACTAGCACTTTTTCTTTGTTTTCCAAGCCAATAGTTTCAATTTGCACGCTTGGGCTTGGGAAAACCAAAGACTGTAAGTGCGTCGAGTTCAAATTTATACTTTGAGGAATAAAAAGAAAGACAGAGATACAATGAACGACCACATCCTCTCCAAAAATCCTGCTCAAGGTTCAGAAAGCCTCCAATATTTTTCGTCCTCTACTTGATAAAAGTATAGATGAAACTAATTATTCTTATCTTATAATTTCTGTCCATGTATGTAATTACACAATCAAGAATATCATTATGTACCATTCTGATTTTTCATCAGTCATATACTGTAGCGGATAGTACGACACTTTCTCACCATAGTTATCAGCAGTTGAGCTGGCGTTATTTTATCTGTGCAGGTTCATTGGCCTGGGCTTAGGCTGTGCTATGGCTTTCTCTTGTTCAGTGAGTGCATGGCGGAAATGGCATCTATGGCCGTATGGACATACAACTCCAGCAAGCACCATCCTGCAGACCTCAGTTTTGTAGCGTGGATGGCGGATGACAGGACGGAGTTCACCAATACCGTGAGCGAATTGGCACTGGTCCTTATAGGGGCATGTTCCAGTTTCCTGCCATTTGTTGCACAGCTCCGTCTTGAACATGCCTTGGTTATACACCACCATCTCCAGAGGCTCTTCCTCCTTCTTCCCTCCACGCACATATACCTTTTGCTGTATCATTGTAAGACATTCAAAATTTAAACATCAATTACCTGAGATTAAATAGGAGGGAGCTGATCGAAGCCCCTCCTTGGTCCTTATGGACAGGAAACTCAATTTATATCCAATTCACTTATTTACATTGGACTTTAAACGATGTTATGTTTATGTTCTGAGTCCTTCTCTTTGTTTGGCCCACTGTTATATTTTGGGTCTTCAACTGTATGTATTGTTGTCTTCATTGGGCAAATGATTTTTAAAGACTCGATGAACAGATTAACCTTGATTTTCTGTTCCTGCATTATCGATTATATCACTTACTTTCCAAATAATGCAGTCACAAATTTGTCCAGAGACAAGCATGTATCTTAGGTCCTTCTATGTTTATGCAACCCACCCCATCTCAATAGGTGCATACAATATATTTCACAATTAAGTTACTTTCGTTAGGCCACTAAATAGTCAAACCAAAGGGTTAAGTTGCAATTCCAAAAAATTGGAGCTTACCAAGCAAGCAAGCAAACGAAATGTCACGTACGTGTGAAGGAGAGATTAAACCCAAAAAATTATATAGATGAGGCAACAACCAAACTACTCTGTCGTTGCAGCTACCGGGTAATGACTAATGACGTAGACAATCAAGCAATGTTTTCTTCATTTGAAAGAAAAACGGGTAACAACTATATACCAAGCAAGCAAATCTGTTCGGTAAATAACGATAAAGCAATAATCACAGGAAAGAGAAAATAATAATAATATAAACCAAACAGTAAAGTCAAAAAGGGGGTTTTCTTACAACGACATCACTTGGGGTCAAAGATGTCCGTGGCCGAGCAGCGCCCTTGGGGCGACTTCCATTGCTGGCACCAGCGGCCGTAGGCTGAGCAGCCTTCAAGTACCCATTTGACCTTACAGATATACTCTTGGGCAGCGAGAACCTCTCCACTTCGACATTGTTCTCAATCACGCTTGTTGGACTCTCGTTCGAAACCTCTTGATCCTTATTCCAATTTTCACAGTTCTCTTTCCCATCCCCGAAATTGTCCGAAATGCGTAAGCCACGAAACCCATTTATGACGTCAAACGCTTCTGTATGACCAGAGGAGCCGTCCAATTGATTCTGGACCGAAACCTGAATGAGGAGGCTCAATTGATTGTTCAGCTCCCTGTTCACAGCGCGAAGTTGGCTGTTCTCCTGCCGCAGAGCCTCGACCTCCTTTGAGGTTTCGGCGAGGCGATTGAGGCACATGCTATGGCGGTTCACCATATCTTGATGATTCTGTATGGCACAGGAGTCATACAGGTGACTCTGAATGGGAGAGTCATTGTACTTCAAGGGAGAGTTTCCTTCATATGAATGAAGCGAGAGGTCGCCATTGTCTGTAGCTGACAATGAGGGGGTGTCAGAAAACAGAGTGGAGTAGATGGCACCATAAATGGCGCCATTCGACTGCATGTGACCAGAAGTAGCGATGTTGGTGCCGACTCCGCCATTTGAAGAAGAGCAAGCGTCCTTATTATGCATTTTCGCAATAGAAGATTCAACTAGCGACAAAACAAGAAAATCTCAGAACCGCGAAAATTAATAAGTCAATCGAATCTTGAATAACTCTAGCGTACTAGTTTATTTCCATTTTACCGAAACCTGAAAACTCGTTCGAATCAAACGCATAAACCAATTCAAAGATCCTAGCTAATAATCATTCAAGAAATACCAGATACAAAATGCGTCGAGGAAATCAACTCCGAAAGAATGCAGCAAGAAAATGAACTAATTAACAGTAACGGCAAAAGAGAAAACGAAAGAACCGTTCATTACCTTGCCAGTCAAGAAGAGGGAGTGAGGCTGGTCCTGTGTTATTTAGAGAGAGAAACGAATATGAGAGAGAGAGGAGGGGGAAGGAGGTTTTATAGCGGGCATGGTTAGGAGGGAAAAAGAAAGGAGGGGACGAAGTGTTTGGTGCGAGGGAAACTCTGAGAAAACGAAAAACAAACCGTCTTCGATACGCCTTCTAACAGAATACACGATGCGTAGCCCCGTGCAAATTTCGCGGTTGGTATCATTCTTTTCCATAATTGCCCCAAAGGAAAAAAGCTAAATATCGGTATTTTGATGCTCTCCTCTCGGGGTCGTTTAGTAATTTGATCTCGCATGTAAAATGGCCTATGTGGTGCTGGCGTACTGGATAGGCGTCCCTCGGTTGATGGGCAGTTCACTTGAATCGGACGGTCCAAGAATGTAGTCTACTGTGGTGGGTCCCAGTGTAATCCAGCCATTACCGTACAGCGATTCACCGGAGACTGGAGAGAACGGGTTCATGTGGTATCAGCGCCAAGATACCTTGTCGAATACCGTAACTGCCCTGGGGTTAGCATTATTACAAATGGTTTACCTACATTTTTAATTTATTTTTTAGACTTTAGAAACGAAGGTAAAGCCATGGACGTTTAAGAAAAAAGTGAGTATATAGATGATAAATGAATATTATATATATCACTATTTCTTAATTCATGCTTGTTACAAATGTTGAATTCTTCTTAGGTGACAAAAAAATATTGAATTCTTTTTGAAAATATAGTGTACAAAATAGGAAAATATATGATCCCCATTCAAATATAGAAGAATAAAACATTATACTACCTCCAGTCCTATTTATAAGATATTATTTATAAACAAGATCTTAATAACAAATCCGGTCCAGTCTAGTCTATGCATACTCCTAATAGGATCGGAGATAATATATGAACTTAAAATTTTGCCCAAAAATAAAACTACAGAAAACATTGACTCTCACGTTTGCCCTAAATGCTTCAGCATCCCCCTAATGTACATGCAGATATATATATATATATATATATATATATGTAACATCTAACCATACAATGTGATATTAGTATAGGTAGGCTGTCTACCTTGTGTTGTTCATGCATAATGGATAGTGTTTTAATTTTTTTTTCCAATAATACTTCTAGTGTTTTTACACGTAGATATAAATTACGAGTACCTTCTTTTAATTTGAGTTCGACATTTCAACTAAAGCAATTTTGAAAAATGATCAAATAATATTAATAAAAGTAAAAAGGTGTCTTTACAAGTATAAAACTGAAGATGAATAAAAATAAGAAAATTTAGAGAAAGTAAAAAAAGATGTCTTTCAAGATAATTTTATTAGTTCCGTCTCTTGAATTGTTAAGCTAAGCATATTATTTGGTAGAGGCTAATACTACCTTGAAGTGATTAATTATCCAAATAGAAGAAGGGAGAACTAATAACCTAGTAAAAAGACGACCGAAATACTAATACTTAAAATGGCGATCCCCTAAATCTCCTAACCCATTAAAAATATTGCAAAAATTGAATCTAAAAATTAAATCCATAAATGACTGATTAAATATTTTAATAGATTGCAGATCTTACAAACTACCAACAATCAATTATTTATTTCTGATGAGATGCGAGTAATTTTGATGCTTTTTTTGTCGAAATTTTAGGTAAAAGAAAATTAATTGCATTGTATATTGAAATATAGAATTTTAAAAAAGTATTATATTTGGAACATAGTATTTATATTTAAATTGAGATGAGAATACGGTTGTGTTTTGGAGCGACTCATTGGGTCATTGAGAAAAAAAAAATACTCATCTAATTGTACTATAAAATGAATCTTATATTTAGAATTGGAAAAATATTAATTATTGAAAAATATCCGTAAGCTCCAATGGCGCACCCGCACATATAAAATCATGTTAATTTTAGCAGTTATATTCAACATGTCTTTCTCTTTTTCTTTTTTTTTAAGCAGCGTTATATTCAAATGTCTAACTAATTGTTGAGCGTGAGTAGGATATGTTTATCACATCATCTCGTTTGATGTACTAAACAAATGAAACTCCCTTTATTAAGTTTGAATCATATGACGTAGCAAGCAGACCAAAAAAACGGTTACCAAAAATCTTGTATTAGAGCGTAAAATTCTATATCCTATAGCTGATGTGAAAACTTTATTAATAAAAAATCTTTAAACATCTCTATAAATAGTTAAATACTACCTCCGATCCTTAATATAAGAGCTAATTGACTAATTTGAGTAGACTAAGAAAATTAGATAAGTTAGTTATTTGTAATAAATAGATGCTGTCTTTCCTAAAATATTCTTGTTAATTAAGTATATTGAATACAACTATTATTATTATAATAATTATTTTAGAAAAAATAGATAAATATAAAAAATAAAATAAATGAGAATATTATATTTAGGATCAAATAAAAATTAAACGAGTTTTTATATTAAGAACCGAAGGTAGTATTATTTAAGTTTCAAGACCTGTCTTATTTTTACCTGTAAAACCAAACTCACTTTAACATTTTGTACATTTTTTTTAATTAAAAGAATAGATACTAATGATTTAAAGATACAAGTGGAATTAAACTAACAATCTTCTATTTATGGAAAAATTTTAATGTCATTAAATTATCTGCTAACTTTTCGTATACAGATTAAAAAGGGTAAAAAACTAGAAATCTACGTATTGACAAAGGAAGAAAATGTGAATCCATGCAGAGGGGGCCCCACGAAGAGAGCAGAAAAGGAAGGAACAGTGGCGGTTAGGGGAATGGAAGAAGCAATTGATGAATAGGAAATGCTTGAAACTGAAGATAAAGGGGCCGCCTGCTGGTAAGATTGCCATTTCCCAAGTAATGACTTTGATTAGGACGCTGGTCATGTGGGAAGATAGAACACATCATTATATATATTTATATTAAATTAAATATTATTTTTTGAAAAATATTAACAGGGCTTTGCTTCTTTATCACATTTACAACAACTTCTTCGTTTGCTAGCTTCTCTATCAATTTCTCATATCAACCTGTTTGGTGACTCAAATGACGTCCCCATCGTCCACATTCTCTCCTAGTCACCCACAGATTTAATAAAAATTAGAAATTTCAAATGTTTGCTGTTAGAACAAATAAAAGTACATTTTGTTTGGTTGATGAAAAGAGTAAAGGAGAGGTAATGTCAATGTAAATTTATATTTATTCTCATATGTGTATGCTTTTTTTATATAAAAAAATGTGTTGTTGAATAATAATATAAATAATTTAGTGAAAGAATTAGTTAACCGTTGCACTATAGGTTCATGTCTCATTTTCTATCGTTTAATTTCCATATTCTTTTGCATCGTACTTTGAATATTTCAGGTGAATATAATTTCAAGCGATCTTGGTTACTGAGATGAGGTAGTGGTTAAGAGTTCAAAGTTTTTTTTTATAAAAAAAGTGACAAAATCTTAATAAAATGTTAATTTTTTGGGTTACATAATTTAAATATATATTTTTATTTACATCTAAAGTTTATCATATATAAGGTCAAAATGCAAGAAAATAATGTTTAATCTTTTTATCTTCTATTATTATTCTCTATTTTGTAGATGCTCCACTTTATACATTTTAAATATTCATTATTAAGTTACTTCAAAAAATATAAAAATTAGATATATTTTGTCGCTTAATTTGCCTTTTTTTTTTCCCGCCAACGATATTTAGCTTTTATAAATTATATAGTATTATATTTTTTGTTAATTACTCCCTCTGGTCTCATTTATATGTTGCTTATGACATTTTTTGTTGGAATCAGGGAAAACTATAAAATTCATTAGCTCTACAAAAAAAAAAAATTCTTATGCTTCCAATTTCACCCATATTAAATATAGGAAAATATTCACACCAAGTTTCTTATATTCATTTTATCAAGTCCTCTAATTAGACATGATCATATGTTTATTTTCTTCATGTGGTTTATATTTTAATGATAATATTTTAAAAATAAGACATATGATTATTTATGATTATGTTGTCTATTGTCCTTAAACATAAAACTTGACATAATAAATAATTAAATATAATAAACCTAATTTAAGTATTGTCCTTAAATATATATATTCTCAAACAAAATGCCATACTTTCTAATATTAAAATTAAATAGGGATAAAGGAAAAAATTGCAATAAATAATTAATATAGCATCTTGTAAAAATGTTTCATACAATTCAGTGTTTTTGACTTCCTATAACTTTTAAATATTTATTAATTAATTAATGATTGATTATTGATAAGAAACATGTAAAGACCTTTTTCAAATGTTGTTGTCATTAAGTTTTCAATAATGTAACAAACCGCTTTATACTACACTAAACAATCTCATAATATGTGTATATTTTAAAATATTGAGTCAAATCTAATCCATAGCGAAAGTTTTTTTTTCTTTTTTCTTTTTTGTTTAAGTCGAAGGGGCTTTGTTGTTTAGTTGGGGACGGTTGTTAAGTTAGGGAGACAATTCTTCTCAAGGAAGAGCCTTTCATAAAACAAACAATGATGGTGGCGGTGAGATTAGCTTTCACTTTCATTACAGCTAATTAGGGTTTCTATTATAACTAATCTGGTCTCATGCTTATATATCTATCCTCGCTGGTCAATACATTGATCATCATCATCTGTATTACGGTAAATCTGTATTTATTATTACTATGTTTGAAGACAACATTTGAACTCCACTAGTCAAACTTTTATTCTGGTCCATTCTATCATGCCCTTGACTCTTTTTTTTTTTTGGGGTTTTCGTCTCCTAATTTATGGAATCTAACAGTTTTTTAATTGATTTTTATTATATCTGGGTAAAGTAGAATTCAATATTCTGATGTTATTTTCATGATACATCTAATATGCTTTCATACTCCTCCGGTCCTTAATATAAGACTCAATTCTTGAGTTGGTTTTGTTTCTAAATATAAGACCCATTTCTCATATTTATCAATTTTCTCTAAATTACCCCTATGGATACTCCCTCAACCATAATTAAGTAGAAGAGGGAGATGGGGTATTAAGAAAGAT